ACATCATTGTTGCTTTGAAGAGGTTTTGCACAATCTTCTCTCGCTATTACTAAGTCAGGACAGGAGCATGGAGAGGCTTCAGCATCCTCACTGTGGCCATGTGCACCCAAGCCCTGGGTCTGTAGATAATGGGTCCTTTGTAGGACAGCTCCCGTTGCTTTCCTTGCCCACGGCAGTCTGAAATAATGAGTCCAGCAGTAGGTCTCTGCACAAAAAGCTCTTCCTCACTTCCTAGAGCAAAAATGTTTGCCAAGTACTGCTTAGGCTGGCTCTGTTTGTCTTGCTGCAAGGTCCGAGGTAGCAGAGGCCAGAAGGGGTCAAACACCAGATTGAGCTCGTTGTGCATGTTCATTTGCTGTAGAAAATGTAAATGTGCAGCTCAAAAGTTTCCACTGTATCTCTGTGGCAATTAGGATTTGATCCAAACCTCACTAAAGTCATTGGGAAGCTTTCCACAGGCTTTAGAACAGGAGTTACATAAGTTTGTGTTGTTTAAAGGGGGTGCCCCAGGGAGGCCGAACGCATGAGCTGACTCGACAGCCACATGCCTGCTCTGCCATGTCATGCAAAAAGGCTGTGCTCAAAGTGCCCACAAAGTGTCCTGTGCAGCACCAGGCAGTATTAACTCCTGAGTGAAACCTTTACCTGTTCTGTGCCAGGACACTGGCTCCTAGTGGAGCTTCCCAAAGTCCAGAGATAAAGAACATAAGATGCTGAATTGTTCAGAGTTTTCAGAATTCAGAGGCCTGAATTGTTTATTTTTTCCGTTAAGGAGGGACACAGTTCTGCCACTTGTGTGCAAATAAAAGGGTCACAAAGAAGGTTCCAAGTGGTAGAACCCTAAGGATTTCATAGTCAAGAAAAGCTAAGTACTCCTAACTCCAGACGTTTCTGAGACTCACTGGAGACATAAACCATAGTCTTTTAAAACATTGGTCTAAAGGAGCTACTTCATTTCCTTCACATACACAACTATACACACCATTTCTGGGCTCCTGATGTGAGTGTACAGTGGCAAGAAGCACTGCTGGGAGATCCTGTTGAGATTTGAACCAATGTACCATGTTGTCAGGAAGGAGTCTTTATGGCTAAATGCACATCAGCATCCTCTGTGTACATTCTGCTGTCACTCTGCTGTTTCATCCTTGAGTTAATTCACTTTGTACTTAATATGCCCTTCCTGGTGCACTGTGCACTATACAAGACCACAGCTCACACCACAGAGATGTCAGGTCAATCAGCCTTCTTATTAGGGTTGAATGGATTTAATGTAGCCATAAAGTTAGGTTCCAAAAGCGTGAATTTGACACATAGCATTTAAAAAACAAACCAGTTTGATCTGTTCTGACCCTGAGCTCCTGTACCTTAGAAAAAGCCCCTTATGAAAAAACTTAATGGTGTGAGCTGACCTTTGAAAACACTATTCTTTGCTGTAATGCACTTGCATCAGTCTGTATTACTGTTATGCCCCCAGATCATAAGGGCTGCCAGTCCTTACTCCAAAGAGCTCATGCTCTAAGTAAAACCATCTCTAAGAGTTTTAGGCAGCCAAAAATGAAGGATTTTGGCAAAGACTGCAGGACTCCAAACTAAACAGGAGCACTTGCTGTCTCACCTGGGATATGAAAATTTGGCCAGGGGAACTTGATAGCAACCAGAAGGCCTCCTTTCAGTGGCAGTGGAATTGAAGGTAAGCTGAGGCACCAGGGAACAACTGGCATTGTACCCACCATGGTCCTAGTATGGTTGGATTTGTGAAGCACAGACCAGAGGGAAGAGAAAGAAAGAACGTCACAGTGCTGGATAAGTCCATTTCTGTGACAAATGCCTTCTGTGCCTTAGTACAGAAATTTAGAACATCATTTTCCTAGGCTTAAGCCAAAGTTGCCGATAAGGATAGTCCAATATTAGGGAATTCGGTAAGAGCCCCACTTTGTAAGACTTTGCATATCCTCAATGATAAAAAAATAAATGGGAGCTCTGGGCAATCAAGTCACTGCAAATCCAGACAGAGTATGCTTGGGTGATGATGCAGAGCATCTAAAAATACCAATTCCAGCTTTACTTTTGCTTTCCAGCAAATTAATTCCACTTAAAAGGGCCAACAAAATCCACTGTGAAGTCCTTATCATCAGCTGTTTCTCTCTAAATATATAACACTGGCTATTTTTACAGTGATCTGCTAAACTTAATATATTTCCAGTGGTTAGGGGCACAGATTAGCTCTGGTGGTTACTGAAGGAATTACTGTGGTCCATCCAACCAGCAGAAAAAAGTCCTAAAAAGCTGTAGCTTACTGAGCCACAGTGGCTCTGCAGAGGCTGTTGAAGCAAGAGTGGCATGTGAGCAAAACCTGACTGCCACAACCTGAGATGGCCAAATGTCATGGGAGTTACTGTTTATTGTCAGATAAATTATTTCTGATGTAGTGTTTCCTATAAATATTTATTTATACTTTACAAGCCACCTAAAGGTATGAGCTTAAATGCATCTGGTTTCCCATGCCTGATGTGCAGTGACCTGCTACCACAGCAAACTGCCCTGGAGAGACTATAAATCTTTATAGGAGCAAGCCTCAGATTTATCAGTATTTCAAGAAGTTGAGATGGATATTAGGTGGGTTTTCAGCAAAAGATCAGGGTTTCCAACCCCAGGGCACAGTATTCAGAAAAGCTGACAACTTCTTTATTCCTTCAGGAATATCCTGGAGAAAAACATTACCCCAGTTGTGATGGAGTTTTTTGTGTGTGAAGTGTGAGAGAAGGTAGTTACACAAAGAGCATCCAAAAATTCTAACAGGCATTACAATCATTATAATCTAGTATCTCATAATATCTGCCAATGCACTTTATCTTGTGTGCTCAGAACAGCAGTCCCAAAGTTTAAATGGAACATTATCTCCACACACCAAATCCAAAATAAATCGTCATCCTTTCCTCTTTGAATTTGTTCTGTGGCAGCAACTTGTCTTGGCATGAAATATTAGCCATATGGACAGTAGAATATCTGCTTTGACCTTGACCTCAGAATAAGTGCTGCCAAAAAATGTGAGGATAACTCCTGCCTTTTATTTCCAAGAGTGATGCTCCATGGGTACAGCCCAATCTGCTCTCCTGGTTGCATCTCAGTGTACAGAATTCATGGGTTTTAATTTGAATAGGTGTTCTACTAAGAGCATATTGTCTGTGGCTGGCTAGGAGCTGGGAAGCAGTATCCCAGACGATAGTTTATTTGGCAGGGATATTTATTCCAGAAATTAATAAAAAAGGGAGAGCTAATCTTAGCATCAGGCAGTGGAAAGTGCATTACTTGTAATTGGCTCTCACCATGTTATTTAGTCAGTGTTTTCATCTTCTGGATACTCTTCCAAGTAACAGGAGGCTGCTGGGGGCAAGATGAGCTGATTTTTTTTTTTTTTTTGGTTGCAGAGCTCTACACTTGTCTAGTTCAGAAATGATGGGTACTGACCAAAGTAGAACATTTAGCTGGGTAAGAGGAACAGATAACTGCTCCTTTGGTGAGTTTTTGCTAGACACATTGCAATGATCATGAATGGGTGTGAACGATACTCAGGATTCAGAATAAACACATTTCATCACATTTTGCCCCACATGAAACAGCATCTGGGTCAGCAAACACCTAATCAGAGCTCCTACATTTTCCCAAGTCCTTGTCTTCCTTTGGCCCATGACAGCCATTCCCAAATAGTGTAGAACTAAATGGTATAACAACACTCAATGAAGAAAGCTGGCCAACCAGGAGGGGTAGAGCAGGAGGCAGGAAGGCACTCCACAGTCCTGGCTGTTAGCTGATCATCACCCAGTTTGGAGTCCTGAAGTTTTGATGAACTCATCTCCCTCATTTGTTAAGACTGTGACAGCATTTTTCACCTCAACGCAGCTGGTTGAAATTCACACTAGCACAGTGCTAATGGTGCCATCTGATGATGCTCAGTGGACTGTGCAAAATGGATTTATTCCATGTGCTTCCTAGTAGGCAGAGATCCACATTACACTCAACAGCTTCAGCATATGGAAATGGTGACGTGTGATTGATGTGGTCCCTGCAGGTCACGGTAACTCATGGCGTATTAGCCCTGCATCCCGGGGAGGCTTATGCTACTGCAGCTGCCCACCTCCATTATCTGAACTAGGAATAAATGAAAGAATTGATGTTCCCAGCGGTGTGAATCTGGCACCTCGGCAGTGCTGAGGGAGGTGGGAGGCAAAATTCACACAATCCAACCCCACGTGTGAGCACAGAGCAGGTTACAACCAAACTTCAGTTATGGGTGCAAAGGGCAGTTGTGTTAGATCACAGTAATCACAATGTTTTTTAAAATGACTGGGATAGCTGTGTTTTCTTTTTAATTTTTGACATTTGGAGTGACTAGGTTTTCCAAAGCTGCTAAGTAAAGCACAGCATGTATAACCCAGGTAGCCCTCTCATCAGATATCCCTTCTTGACCTAATTTTCAGCAAGGCCTAAGCAGCTGCTCTTTCAAAAAACAGACTGTTTAATGGCAGCCAAGACCGGAGGCAGTCAAATTTAGGATTTTGTGGCCAAAGAAGTGAGCAGACTAAGGTTTCCCATAATGATATGGACATTCATCTGGGCACCTCCTGGCCAAGATGAAAATGAGGACATCTGTTGTCTCTGCCCCTCAAATGCAGGATGCTTTTCAGTTTTTCCAGGGAAATCACCTGTCTATGACATTTTAAAGCTTCACATGAGTCAACACTGCAAGCTCCTCTCTCTTTACCACATAAATTCCCTGTAATCTTGCACATCGCTCTCATGGCCATAGCGTCACCACAGCTCCTGCAGATTTGTCTTTCTCTTCCTACTTCAGCAGATAAGACAAGAAAGTTGGATGCTAACTCCTCTGTCCTTCTGCAGAACACGGAAGGTATTCCTTCCTGCCGGACACGCAAGCCATGTTGTCCCCATCTGCTGGTTCCTCCCCAGTATCTCACCCTCTTTTTGTGTTTTTTCCTCAGGTGTTCTACTGATCTTGGCACTGACAGAAGAGCTGGTGTTTTCTGTTCAGGTACTGTCTCCCACTGTCTCCTCCTCTCAGGGCTTCCCGATGAACACTACAGCTGTCACAGCCATGGGAACAACGCCTCACCACAAAGACCACCACACGGCAGAGCCCCTTCCCACGTCTGCTCAAGCCATGTCCCACCCCATCAGCCTGGTGGAGAAAGCCCCTTCCACCGGGCAAGAGCAAGAGAGTAGCCCTCGCATCGGCAAAAAGGAAACTTACCATTTATACAACCAGAGTGCTTTGTACTCAGGACAGTCTCGCCCCAAGGGGAAAATATTCCAGGTTTTCAAAGGCAACTTCTCAGAGTCGTCAGAGCCTTACCTAAAGACAACCCTGCACTCTCCCTTCCCTACCCTGAGGAGCCCTTTCACAGACCACCCGTTTCAGTCCCAGACCACAGCATCCAGCGATCCAAATGGAATGGGGCTGGCAAGAACTACACACTCAGACCCTTCTCCCCACCACAACACCTCGGGAAGCCTTAGGGAAGCAGAGCGAGGGGATGGGACCGAGGTAGTCGTGCAGGAGGCAGATTTTGCCACCACAACTGCTGGACCATCAACTGATCCTGAAGCAGTGTCGGTGCCTTTTAAACCCACCCGCTATGGCGTGTGGGATATGCTGAGCAAAAACAACTCTTGGGTAACCTTGAATCTCAGTACAAATGTCCCTCTGTTTGCTGGCTCTGGATCTGCTACAGCAGCAGCTGGTCACTCAGTTCAGACCAGTTTTGACGTCAGCATCTCGACCCCGGCAGCGGGAGACCCCGAGGGACTCACTCCAACGCAGCACGGCGTGGTGACCAATGCCACGTCGCCAGGCAGTGCTCTCTCCTCAGTGCCTGCCACGAGGTTGTCCAGCTCCACTTCCACAGCTGGCTCCACCGCCACTGGGAACTTCCTGAATAGACTGGTTCCTGCCGGGACCTGGAAACCAGGCGTGCAAGGAAACATCTCCCACGTCACCGAGGGGGACAAACCCCAGCACAGAGCAACCATCTGTCTCAGCAAGATGGACATTGCCTGGATCATTCTGGCTATCAGCGTCCCTATATCCTCATGTTGTAAGTTAATTGCCACTTTATTTTGCTTTCTCTTTCCTTAAGATTCAGATTTCAGCCCACGATTCAAGGACTAGCTGGAGACCTAACAGAGGCAGGTCAGCTTGGGATGGATGAGATGCACAGGTGTCACATTCACTGACCAAAGTGTTTAACTTCAAAATGCAGGACTAAAATGTTACAGTCAAAGCATACTTGCTCTATTGCTGTTACAAACCTTAGGGGGTGACTCTCCATTTGAGGGTGTAACACTAGCCTGAACAGCTCTAGAATGTGAAGCAGCTTTACTCCAAGGTGTTTAAGACAGCGATCAAAAACTTGATCAAGGACATTATTTGATCTAGGAACTAGTATTTGCTGTCCTGAAATTGGATTTTAAAAGCCCACTGCTAACCCAAAGGTTTAATAACATCTATAATGACTGATAATTCAGGAAACACCAGTTTTCCCACACAGTAAAATATTTCATTGCAGGCAGTGCATAAACTATCAGATTTAAAAATCTGATAAAAAAAGTGCTGGTTTCCTCCATTTTAATTCCGATTTACAGTTGCCAAGGGAAGAGAAAGAGGAGGAAACCTTGGCCTTCAGACACCTGGAGTCAGCCACCTGCATAACCAGGGCAGGTTGGGTTTCCAGAGCTGGCTCAGGGTCTTGTTGTTTGACTCAGTTACAAAACACACACGAGAAATTATGAGCAAGCTTTTGAGTGCTTGCCAGGATGTCCCGTGCCTAGATGGGTTGTATCAGCTTGGTGGGACAGCATATTCCCTGGGGTCTCACTGTCACGGGGTGTGACTATTCTGGTCTGTCTGGAGTGAAACAAAACCAAACATTTCCCAGCCTTTGGTGCCTGAGGAAACATAAAGGGGTAGCAGCCAAGAATACTGAGTATTAATGCTGTTATTTACAGCTATGAACTGTACGGAGGACAGATGAGCTAGATGAGCTGCCCGAGCCAGTCTCGGACACAGCTTACTCCAGCCAAAAAAGACACTGCTGCTCTCTCCTGCTCTTTCTGAGGTGCAGGCACCTAATCCTGGCCCTCCCCTTCTGCCTGGGCCTGACTTGTCACCTCCCTGAAACACTTCCAGAGTGTTAAAGTGGCCAAAAAATATCCACTTCACTCTTTGGTATTGGTATTGTTCTGTCTACCCAGTGAGCTGAATCAGCTCTCCACAAAGTCAGGTGAGCATGAGACTCGGAAAGGATGTGGCTGCAGGAATGCAAACCTGGAGACCAGACCATACTAATCCTGTCAGCAGCAGCAAATTATTGGATTGGGTCAGCATATTTGTTAGATTCGCACCTCTGGGACCATCAGTTCTGCTATTCAGTGTGGCTAAAACCACAAGTGAGAACAAAGCTGAAGGCTGAAAGATGGGCAATCAAAGAGAAACCAAAGCAGAATTTGCATATGCATTTCTGTGAGAGATGGAGAGGAGAAACTGGGACTTAGCAAACACGAGGTCAGAAGCAGCAGTATTTGATGATTTGATGAACTGTGCCTTGTCTGTCCATCACTAGAATTAGAGGATCAGATAAATTCTTCCAAGAATTACGTTTTGGGCCAATATCCAGAAAGCAAGCTGAGCTGGATAGAAAACATTTAAATACAAACTAAGAAGTGTAAAACCATACACACAAGCATGGCAAGCGTAGCCAGTGGGTAAACGGGTCTGTGCACGCAGAGTGCCATGTTCGAGGTAAATAACAGTAACAATGACAATAGTAATAATAATAATAGTAATAATAATAATAATAATAGAAGTCTGATAGCAGAAGTGCTAACCCGCTATTCATTAAATAGAGGTGTTAGCACTTTTCCTCTTTTCATTTGTGCCATAATGGTAAGTGTTCATGTGACTCTGCCTGTTATGGTTCTTGTATTCATAAGCTACATTTTTTTAAAAGTCAAATTCTATTTTGAAAGTTAGCGGTATCAGCTCTAACATAACTGAGTATTTAAACTGTCCAAGTATTTAAGTCCTTCTTTCAAGACTCAGATTCCTGAGGATGGCCTTCATTGGGACTCTCCTTTTAAAACCCAGGGATCCTCGGATGTATTTCAGAGTCGAAATGAGCGGCAGGCAGGCATTTCGATGGTATTTTTGGGGGGATGATCTGGCTTCAGTGCCTAGGAGATGGATTTCGTCCCGGGGTTTGGCTGTTCAAACAGGGGCCCCTGCCCGCCCGTGCCCTGTGCCGCCCGGGCTGTCCGAAGGGGACTGTCGCCACCTCCCGGGCACAAGCGCTGCAGCGGCCACAGGCGGCCCCAGAGGATGCTCCTCTCCTCTGGCCCAGAGCGGGCTGACGCCGGGAGAAGGATGAAGGACAGATGTTTGGGTTTCATTTCATCTTCAAACGGGGAAGTTTTCCGAGAGAGGCTCTCACAGTTGTTGTGGGCACGGGATTGAGAGAAAAATACTGTCGTGCTCCTGCCTTGGGATGCTGAAAGGCTATAGAGACACAATCCCATGCTTTTAAATACCTGAGCTGCCTTAGAATGGATCAAGCCACGGAGAAAGTCACTGAGGACCCCTGTCACGGGAGGGTCCAGCTGTGGGCCGGTGGCTCTGCACTCAGGCTGGCGCCTTCGGGACCAGGAGGAGACAGCCTCAAGGCAGGGAAGTTAGCCACACAACTGGAAAGACATGGAGAGAAGTGAGGAGAGGCAACCCAGAGCCTGTGCATGAGGCTGAAGAGCTGCATGAATCCAATTAATTCAGCTCCTTTGTTCTGCTAATGAGGGGTGCCCTGAGATGAGCCAGCTCGATGACCTCCAGGCTGTTTCTCCAGAGCCTTTGCAGAGCTGCTCAGTGGCCAGCACACCTCTCTTCTGCCAGGAGCCCTTGTGTCCTTCCATATAGTCTCTCCTCTGTGCAAGGAGTGACAAGGAGGCTGGAAAAGCTTTCTTTGGAGGGCTTCTGGGCACAGTTTGTGCTACCCAAAAATTTTTGGAAGAGAACACATCATGATACTGCAAAGACTCTCTGTCCCTCTCTGATCCGTACACGCTGCTTGCTGTCACACCTTCTAGTGACAGGCACCTGATAAATGAAAACCTGTGGGCATTTGAACTTCTATAGCAGGGAAGCTTCCTAGAGAGCAACCACAGGAGCCTTTGGCTCCTCATCCCCACTGGAAGAAGTGCTTGGGATGCTGCGCTTCTCCTCACAGAGGACAGACCCTGCTGAGATTTCCTTGCTGGCCCATCCCTGCTGTGGGGATTTGCACCAAAGAGCAGGAAGCAGCAGAGTGTTTGTTCAGCATCCCTGTGCCCTGACATTTGTGCCCCACTGAGGACCGTGCTGGTGGCACAGCTCAGGGGCTGTAGCACAAGTGAAGATCTGTGCCTCAGGAGCTCACCTGCTTAAATAAGACCCGGCATTTAGCCTCCCACCCTTACAATGCATACTTTACAGATGCACAGATTTTGGAGTCCCACTGAAATCCCTGAAACTTCTAGCCAGAGGAGTAATGCTTTGAGTAGGAATGCACAAACCATTGTGAACCTAGGGAAATAATTTCACCTTTTGGCAGCTCAGTTTCATGGTATAAATAATGAGGGTAATGTTGCTAATGCCGTGGGAGGGCTGCAAAAATGAAGGATTTATCATTCCCTTCCCAGAACAGCAAAATCATATATAACAGTGATGTCATTATTTTCTTCATGTCACAGTTTGAGTTGGTTTTGCAGTGTCCTTCGGGCAGCCTTGAACATTTTTGTGCACGTGCTGCTGTACATGTGTAGGTGCCTCTCTCTGCAATGCAGAACGAGACACAATATGAGCTCATTTTGAAACCCACCATTCCAGTCCTTGGGCTCCTGGTCCTTGCGTCACTTTAACTACAGAATGACACAAGAAAATGAGGAAGAACAGGAACTTGCAAATCAGATGCACAGAAGTCAATTCATCCAGTCAGTTCTGCTGACACAGGAGAGCACCAGGGGAAGGCTGAGCCTCTGAACACAGGCATCAGTAGAACTCAAAGAATATGTGAAGAATTGCCTTGGGCCTAACCTCACTTAGCTCACATTTCATGCACTTGAACGCTTTCCAAAATTACCTCACTCACCTTCTCCATCACAAAACCTGTGCTTGCTTCCTGGTCTGAAGTGAGAGAGATCCCAAGCCCTGAGCCTAATCCCGAGATGTGAACTCAGGCTGAGCTGGAGTGACTCCTGTCTCCAGATGTAAGCAGCTATAGTCAATAACCAAATCCATCCTGATACCTTTTTCACAGCTAAGTATGGGCTGCTACATATAGGAAAACAGGGAAATTTAAAGAAATATGGAAAAAGCACTTTTGGTCATTGGGGGAAGGGTTCTTTAAATTTAGTTTATGTTGTGATCTGCAGGTGTAGGGAGAAGTAAATGAAGATCCTTCACTCTGAATATTGGATGATTTTTAAGTGCTTACAATTTCAGGTCTGTTAACACTGTTTTGTGTGGGAGCTGGAAAGTGGGGGGAGTATGCAGCTGTGTAAGATTGGTAAAATATTTTAGTGGCTTGAAGGGAAAGACTGTCAGAAAACTGTAGGGAACTGTTATGATCTCATTACACTGCATTAATGAAGCTGGTATTGAATGTGATATATAATCATAGTGGGTTATATTTTTTTAAAAAAGAACACCAGAAAATTAGAAAAGAGTCATGGAATGATTTAAGAGTGAAGAAATGCAACATAAATCCACTTGTGCCATGATGTAGCACAACGGGAGGCTGAAGCCTACACATATAAGAGATGTTTCTGACAGCACAGTGGAAGTTTTTAATAATAAAGGCAAAAGAACATGGAGGAAGTGATGGTTGAAGAAGAAGGTATTTACACAAGAGTAATGTAAACATGTCCCCACAATGGAAATTAAACATTGAAACAAAATTTGTGGGAATGGGATGGATATCTGGTCACTCTGTATCTTTAAATGAAGGTATTTTCCTATGAGATGTATCTTATATACAGATTATGTTAAAGGTAACAGGTGAAAGTCTTCTGGTATGCAGGTGCTTTGTGGGTGACAGTAGGTAATGGACATGTTCCCACCAGCCTAGAAACTTGTAAATCTGTGAGAATCTTGTTTCTCCCATTTGTGGGATGTTTTATTTCCTGTTTCATAGGTGGGGGGACAAATAATGCAGATGTAACTCACCCTATGGCCAGAGAATATCCAGTGTCAGAGCTGGAGCTCATCAGCAGCTCAGCCCCTGAACATGTGTTGCAGCTACTAGTTCTCTCTTCAGCTCTGTTGTTGTCATTAGTGCCATTTGTGCCTTCGAAGCCATCTCTGCCCTCTGAGTATTTCATCCACTTAATATGACCTCCCTGGCCATCAGAATTGTCTGTCGGGAAGAGCTTTTCTGCAATACATGTAATTCTATTTATGGGAACAAAATGGTATCTAGGAATATTGGAAAAGCTGTGCCCTGGTCCTAGTGTTGTTCTGGAAGTGGGAGACCCTGTGTTGGCTACATTCATTTCATTAAAATATTCCCCAAATGTGGCATGTTACATGGTAGATGTGGTACTTAATGGCCGTAGTTTAGTGGTGGATCTGGCAGTGTTAATGGTTGGACTCAACATTCCTGAAGGTCTTTTCCAACCTAAATGATTCTATGATTCTGTGAAAAGGGCAGTTAATATAAGATGAAGAGGGAATAGCCCCATTCCATCCCTGCTGTCCTCACTCACCCTCCTAAATGAGGTCTTTTCTGCTTTGAATTGGGGTAGATTAGGTAGACATCCTTCTGCTAAAATACGTATTTGTGGAAGCTCAGGAACCCATTTCCCATGCTCTTCCATCCATTTTCTTGTGTGTGCACCACGGTTGGAGGCCAAGAGTGTAAATAAGAGAGGGAGAATTATTGCTGTATGCATCTGCACATGGCAAGGCCATTTCCTGCTGGAAGAAGCTGAGATCTCCCTCAACTCAGTGTCACCGGCTTTCCAGCCCCTAAACCCCAAATCCAGTACTTCTCTTTCAGTAGCCACAATATTTTACAAACTGTAAACCCTCAGGCTTTCCAAAAAACATTTGCACAGAGGTGACTTTACTGGGGCCCTCATGTCCTCAGACACCTTCAGAAATGCTCTGTGCCGTAGGGATGGATCCCTTGTTGCTGGAGTACTGAAAAGCTCCAAGGACTGTTGGCTCTCACCGGCAGTGGTAAGGACTAAATGCAAGTCCTGCATCACTTTCTAATCTTCCCAAGCTTGCAGGCTGGGCTGGGACACGGAGAGGGCAGCAGCCAAAGCAGGGATAAAAGGTGCAGCCCTTCAAGGGGACAGGCATTTCCCCAGGCAGGGAGAGCAATTCTGGGGGATCATGAGGTGCAGCAGCAGGATTCAGACTGTTGGGCTGTCAGCAAATGAAGTTGTTAGTGACAACTGCCTGAAATGAAACACACTGGGGTTTTTTTATTATTCTTAGTAGTTTGTTTTATTTTTTAAATAGAGGTCTAGCCTTACACTTTTGTGTTGCTATTTTTATGTGGTCAGTGGGATAAGAAATTAGACCCATGGCACATGGGTAGCTGCAATCTTTGTCAAAACATACATAGCAGCAGTGATATCTCTGCAGTCTTTTCTTTCCTCTGAGTTATCATTCTAATACATAATTCTACCTGTAGCTGAGAAAAAAAATTATTTTTCTGCTTCATGAATATTTTCTCTCTTCTTTTCTACCATGAGGGATTTAGAAATTATAGAATGAATTTTTCAGCAGGGCATTCCGTATTTCACAGGTACAAATCAAACCAAGCAGCTGTGTGCAGCTACCTGTCTGCATGAATCAGGTTGATTACAAACACAGCTGGTCAATGAATTCCACATTGTAAGGTGTGAGGTGTAAGGGAAGCAGACAGAGCTCACACATTACAGCTCTGAGCAAATCCTTGCACATGCCCCAGCTTCTGCCTGAGCGAGGGCTGGTGGGAGCAATAAGTCTGTTGTTGTGGGTTTGCCTGTCTCTTGTAAAGTTGCCAAGATTACCCATCTGAATTGCAACAGAGATGAATAAACTGAAAGCAGTTCCAGAAAATAACATTCAGCCAGCTTTGTGTTCAGCTGCCTGCTGGGAGAGAATTACCTGGGCATTTCTGGGGCCCAGAGATGCCTGTGGCCACAAGACCAGGCAGACTCCTGAGCATCAGGAGTTTTACTTGCTGGTCACTTTGTCTTGCCTAGCTGCCCTACTTTAAGTTCAGATATTTCAGATTATAAAAGCTTAAGTGTGCTCTGCAGGTGAGAAAAAAAACCCACTCTTGGGCATTACCCAATGTCCAGACAAGTGTGGGGGGAACAGGTTACCCTTATCAGCAGATTCCAATTCCCACAGCTGATGAAGACAGGCAGGAAAACCCCAGCTCTGGTGTTAACACTACCCTGGAAGTGTAAAGTATGTGGGGCAGGTGCCACAGGGGACCTCCACACCACCTTACCCCGGTCTCATCCTACTCAGGAACCCATCTGTTCCTCTGGCTGGTTGCTGATGTGTTGGAACATGGTCACAAACCAAAATCCAAGTTACAAATGGCAGGCAACAGAGGCAGGGATCAGTGACACTTCAGGACAGATGCTTTTAGTATTGAAGACAGGCAACTGTGGCATTTTTGAATTTGCTATTTGGGCTAGGACAGGTATCTCTCACTGCCCACTTGCTAATGTGCTCATCCCTGCAGCCTCTGAACACACCAGATGCAGAAAAGATCCCCACAGAAGCATCTTAGTCCCTGAGAAATGCCCTCTCTCCTAGAGGGTCTATAACCCCCTGCTTAGGTATTAAAATGCCATCAGTTACAACAACAAAGCTTTTCATTAATCAGGCAGCCACATCTTGAAGATTATACACTCACATCAAAAAGAAAGTAAAAACTGCATATTCTGCCAAGCCCAAAGCCTCATCTGCTTGGCCCAGATTCTGACATAATTGTGTAGGATTTGTCAGCAGAGAGCTAGGACTGACTGAGACTGAAGTGTATGAATGTGGGTCACCAGCCCTCTCCTTAAGTAACACGAAGTACAAATCCATGGTACTGATGAGTCCTTATTGAAAGGAAATAACCAGATTTTTGACATGTTTCTATTGACAGCAGTTCTGCTGACAGTCTGCTGCATGAGAAGGAAGAAGAAGACATCTAACCCAGAGAACAACCTGAGCTATTGGAATAATGCTATTACCATGGACTACTTCAACAGGCATGCTGTAGAGTTACCAAGAGAGATCCAGTCGCTGGAGACTTCAGAGGTACCTTGCATGCAGAACTGGTGTCTGAAAACTGTAACTGAAGCCATGCTGGGAGGAGGGGAGAGGAAGTCATATTAATAAAGCCTTGAAATCCCTACACATGTTCAGGGAAACAGCTTTTAGGGAAGGACTCACTCCTACACGTCTATTAGGTGGGATGAACAAGCCAGCAAAACTGGATTGCCATCCTGTTCCCGGCCACTGCAGACGTGTTCCATACTGCTGCCTGATGATGGGCGTTAACAGCCTCTAGGTGAATTTATTCCTGGGTTTCTCTTCCTTGTGAGCCTACAGCCAATGTCAAGCCATGCCATGATGGCTTAAGGAGAGCCCTTTGGGCTGGCTCATTACTGACTGTCAGTCAGCTGTGCGTGTGCCACACGGCATAAAAGAAGGAGGCTGGGGGGAGTTAATAACGCAAAGAAATTTTGTACGTTTGTGTCTTAGGAGCTGCCTGTAATTTCTCAAATACCACTTCAGGGAATGAGTGTTCCCACTACAAAAGTAATCAGAACATCAGTATGTGGGGATGTGTGGTGGTGGTGGTAGTGTACACTCATCAGCCTTTACTTAAGGGATCTGACTGGTTCAGTGGCATTATTCACACATGGGCAGGTGATCCTACTGATAGAAATCTATTCTCTAGCCTCAGAGGTAGAGAATAATTCAGTTTAGTTCAAAGGTATTTAAAACCTAGAAACAGTGGAGAATCTGAGTTTATACTAAAGTGATTTTCAGAACAGCTAGCTGACTAGCTTATGTGACTAAATTAAAAAAAAATAGAAAGTTTGGAAAGGAACCTCTAAGATGTGATTAGACAAATAGTCACAGTCACTTCATTAACCCCATTTTGCTGACAATCATGTTGCTCAGTCTAAGGTAGGACCTGGTCTGGCTTGCCCAAAATCAAATGTCAGGCCTATTCACATACAAAATGATCTTAAAAAGCTGAATCATTTAAACCTGATCAGAGTATGACTGAACTAGGGCATGCTCGGGTGGCTTGGACCCATATATGTGGCTGTCTAACCTTAAAAAGAAGTCGAAAATCCATCTTGAGGAGTCAAGCCCAGCTGAGAGACAGGAAACACTTGCAATGAGTCAAACTGGGGAAAAACCCAAGAAATGTGGAAGCTCCAAAGGGATTGGAAGTCTGGTGCAGCTGGCTTCTGGGTCTCTAGGCTGAGAAAGAATCAGCAGACCCTCGGAGGAACTTCTCACTCACAGCTCCTCCTGCCTGACGAAGGGAGAAACCAGCTCACTAAGCATGGCTCTCCAGAGTCACAGCCCACAACATTCAGGCACCTTTGGGGGATTGGGAGGAGTGTCCTCTGTGCTCAGGGAGGGCGAAGGGTGTGAAGTGCTCAATCTGCTTCTCTGTTTTTCCCTAGGACCACCTGTCCGAGCCGCGCTCCCCGGCCAATGGTGACTACCGCGACAGCGGGATGGTCCTGGTGAACCCCTTCTGTCAGGAAACGCTGTTTGTGGGACACGAGCAAGTCTCCGAAATATGAGCCCACGGCTGCCCCCATACTGCAGTTTCATCTCTACTGTCTCCAAATTATAAATAAATATATATATATTATAAATATCACCTTTGTGTAACCCTGAATTACAAGAAATGTTTTCAGCTTTTCTTTTGTCCCTCAGAATTGTCAGCCCCTTTTTTATAAGTGTGGTAAAACTTTACAGAACAAACTGTGGCTTTATAAAATAAAGGTATTTCTAAGCAAAACATCTGTCATGTGGTCTGTTTGCTTCGCTCTCGTTTACAAACTGCTGCTAAATATACATGGTCTGGAAAAATACTGAGTAAGGCTGCTCTTGGTGCAGGCAGCATGTGGTGGGTACAGCACCCTGCATCCTACATGATATAACTCAGCTGAGTATAAGCATTTCTGCTCAGTGACTGTCCCTTTTTCTACTTCAGACAATCACTCCTTTGCTTCAGGCTGCTAGGCTAGAATGCAAACCAGACAGGGCCAGTTCAGTTGCCAGATGCAGTCTGTACAGCTCCTCTGCCACTCTTGTGTTCTTTCTGTGACTCCAGTACTGCCTGAGCACCAACTGGGATGAGCCCTTTACTGTCCCATTTACAGTCTGAGCTGCAAAACTCTTTTATATGAGCAAGGACAAGAATGGCCCTTTTTTCCTGCATAATTGTTTTAACCACACTGCACATTAGACTCACAGCTGCTACACTTCAGCCCAATAAGCCTAGAATTATTTCCTGAAGATCAAACAGCCTCAAAAGAAGGCATGTAGAGTGTTCCCTTCAAAGGAACAGAAAATTCCTTTATCAAAAATCTTGCAATCTGGTCACTAGAGACTGCTACCAATTGAATGCTGTGGCTTTGACCGCATTTTCCCTTCTCCATTGTTTTATTTATCTTGTATGTTTAGACTGCTGGTGCCACTGAATCAAGTTTCCTCACACCCACTTCTACTCTCTGGGACTTTCCTTTCCCCCTTAGGAAGGAAAATGCAGCATTTCAGAGCAAAATGGCAATTCTGTCCTACCCTGTTAAGTGCTAGATTGCAGACTCTAATAGTGTTAGGGGAATAGTAAGGGTGAACAAAGCCTAAATGATGGATTAAAAATAGGTTGCTGCAAGGCGAGACTAATAGGGAACATGGAATGACTTGGCCCAAATCGATGCTCTCTCTTTGAGTAACCCAGAACTGTTACTGTGGGACCAATTCTTAGTTTTGCTTCTCAGATGGCTTTTTTATATCATTCAGCAAGTGAAATGGCTGCTATTTGAAGCCTCGTTCTCCTTCTTCTCACCTCTGGCCACCAGTTCTGCTAGGCAATTTTCTTCTTTCACTCCTCACCTCATCAGGCTATGAGGGGCAGTTTAGCCCCTGCTCCAGCTGGCTGCTCCCTGCCACCCTACCAGCTACTCAGGTTTAATGTTTGGCTGCATCAAAGGCAAGTTTGGGCAGGACAGGGCTAGTGTAGCATCATTAACCACAGGCCTTATTCAGGGTGAGCCACAGCTGGTGCTAGAAAAGAGACTTACAGCAGTGGCACATCTGGTCCAGCTGTTCCCACTTGACAGCAGTGTCCCTCCCAGTGGCTGCTGTTGGTCAGAGCAACATGACAGCTTTACTAAATGATGGCTGGAATCAGACCCAGACTTGCCTCAGGGGGCCACAGAGGCCTCGTTGCTCCTCCTTTCTCACCATCCCACACATTCACTTCTGCTGTGTGGACTGTAGACTAGAGGCTTCCGGAAACTGGAAGATTGTGATGTTACAGGGACTCTCCTGGATATTTGTTTGTCTGGCCAGCATCAGAGGGTAGTGCAAGTCTTTCTCATGAGGTGATAGTGCAGGCAGGATGACAAGGCTGTGGATGGGCATGGATGGGCACTTTGGGAATATATCTTTTCACAGTGGGATAAATGCTGCACAATATGATACCTGCGCTCCTACCAATTAATTACTAAACAGCCTCCTAGAAACCACTGATAGGAGAGTAAAATCCCTGGGGGTATTGCCAAGAGCAAAAGCAATCCCACAAGGATCTTTGTTTTTATTTGAAGAGGGAGGTGGACAGAGGGAACAAGGTTACAGAAAACTAAATTCAGTTCTTTGAAAAAAAAGCCCATGTTACTACATTTGTTCTCTGTACATGGTATTACTTTTGCAAGGGAGATTTTCTGATTTGACACAGAGCAACTACACTGAAAATACTGTGTAAGAAATACAGGAGGATGCTTCTCGTTTAGCCAGCACAGTTTGCTTGGTATTCTAAAGGCAGAATACCTAAGCTAGCCAAAAGTATTTGCAAAGCTGAGAGATGCTGGGCTGTTCCCAGTCTTCACACAACCTGGAAATGGTGACCTGACTGTAAGCAGCCTTGCAATTCTCAAACTTAAAAAAACAAGTGAAACAGACTCCAGCCATCAACCCGGCGAGCCAGGATTAGGCAGCAGTGGAAGGCAGGGATTTCTGATTGTATCCTGTCTCGCCAAAGAGTCACCACTGCCCCTGCACAAACCTACACTGCATTAGGGCAATGCCCAACATCAGCACATTACAATCGTGCCTACAAAGATGCGCACACGGTGATCCTACACTGGAACAGCATCCTGGCTGTGAAGTATCCCTGTGTGTAGGTAGAAAAATCCAGGCCAAACATTGTATTGTGAAGGTTCACACCGTACCAGGATCACTTAATGCTACTTAATACTTATTATTACCTATAAACTACCCACCTGATCACTAGTAGGTAAAGAATAAGTGGCATAAGAACAAAAGCAGGGAAAATCTCCCCCTTTCCCTGCAATAAGTCTCTAGGATTGTTTTGCCCTTTTCTTTCAGTTCACAGTTGCCTCACTTTGTCACCATGTTATGCAGGCAAAGAAGTGAAGCAGGCCCTTGTTGAACAAGTGCAATTGATTATGTGGAGTTAAAATGATTGAAAAGGGGTGGACATGAGGTTGCTTGCCCCTATAAAACCTGTTGGGATTGTGTCAATATGTCTTGGGTGGGTGGTGAAGCTGAGTTGCAAAGAAACCCAGAAGCTGCAGCAGACCCAGGGGAGCATTTGATGCTCTGCAGTGGCAAAAAGGCTCGATCAGCTCTGCTCAGTTGTGGCCCAGTTGACTCCACAGAGGTTTGTTTTGCTGAGTTAGGAAATGTCTTACTGAAGTAGACTGTGTGTGGAGCAAGCACTGGTGCGAGAAGCAGATGCATCTGTAATATATAACTGGATACCTGTGACTGTAAGGGTAGGAAATCACCCGGGTGTCAGCGTAGAAAGCACTGCTGGTATTTTAACACGTGCATTGTACTGAATCCCCGTCCCGCTGTCCCCATAAACACCATTGTGCTTTTCATCTGCCACATTTGCAGCAGCAGCAGCCGGGAGATTTCCCCTGAAATGGGACTGCTGACCCAGCAGCCGCCCGGACAATGTGACGGGCGCTCCCAGGCAGCACAAAGCCCCCTTCCAGAAAGCCGTCGCACAAAGCCGAAATCCCGAGCGAGCCCCGACCTGCTGGGCTCGGCACATCCCTCCCGCCAGTGCCGGGCGAGGCGGCCGGGCTGAGCGGCGGTGCTCGGCAGGCTGGAGCGACAACATGCCCTTGCCGAGGCGCCGGTCGTCCTTCCTGGGGCAGCAGCCCTCTACCTCCACGGCGGAGAGCTCGGGGCCGCCCGGCCGCCGGGTGAGCGTCGGAGGTGGAGGGAGCCTGTCGAGACCCCCCGGCGTCTACGTGGGCACCGTCCCCACGGGCGGCGTGAGCAGCCTGGGCACCCGAGTGTCCCGTAGAGCCCTGGGCATCAGCAGCGTCTTCCTCCAGGGTCTCCGCAGCTCCGCCGCCGCCGTGCCCCTGGCCCCGGGGCTGGACAAGGGCAGGGGTCTCTCCTACGAAAGCCTGAATGGCTGCTTGGTGGAGTACATCGAGAAGGTGCGAGCTCTCGAGCAGGTCAACCAGGAGCTGGAGGAGCACATCAGAGTCTACCTGGACAAGAAGGCGGCCAGCGTGGGCAGCTGGGGAGCGCTGCGGGAGAACTGGGAGGCGATTTACCACCAGGTGAGAAGTGGGAGGCGATTCACCACCAGGTGAGAACTGGGAGGCGATTCACCACCAGGTGAGCGCCGGAGCGCTGCCGGCAGCCGGGGGAGCGGGCAGGAGCTGCCCGGGTCATCGGCAGCTCCGGGCGGCCGGGCACCAGGCTGCTCATGGATGCTGTCTGAGCAAGGCACGGTGCCCTAGACAGAGGGTTTAAAATCTATCTTCGTGATAATTAGCATTATTATGCCTATTAAGCAGGAGGATTGCCTCAGGCGTCGTGCGCATGAGAGCGATTGAAATGCACCCCAAGGCGCCGAAGTCTGGGCCGATTAGAACGGGTGGGGCTTTTTTCCTTTTTTTTTTTCTCCCCTTCTTCTTTTAAATCTGTGGTTATTACACTGAGTATCAAAATTAGAAAGAAACCTACTAGGACTGAATTAGGTTATCATTTAACAAGATATCATTACAAGCACGCTGTGGGTTTTATTTTTAATCAGCAATTCAGATTTTCACTTTATTCTCTTGTTGGCTTAATAACATTTTCGAAAGCTCCATTTATTTAGAAGTAGTAATTACATGGTTACAAATTAGTGACTCCCCTTCCTTTGCCACCACCCCACCATCCCTTACTCCCACCTTCTCCATATGGCGCAAATGTTTATTGTGAGGCAGCAAAATGGGGTCTGTATTGACCTCATGGACAAGAAGGAGTTCCTTTTGCTGGCCAGTAAAGCCTTTCAGGCTGATGTCCTGCTTGCAGCAGACACAGGGCTCTGTCTGCTGAGGTCTTGGTGCACAAGATTCTGGCTTCCCAGCTCCCAGGCAGTGGGAGCAGACGGGATTCCAAAGACCTGGCGTCTGGCGTCTTGCACACCTCTCACACCTCTTCCCAGCAGCACTGTGCAGGCACAGAAAATGCCATCACTGGGTCTTCAGAAAGCCTGAAAGCCAACTTTAAGTTGACTGGGACAATTGTGTTGTTTTAACTTGGGCTGGCCCGTTTTTCCTTGTATTATTATGGCAGGTCTTCTCCCAGAACACCACAAACATTGCTCGAACTCTGAATGTGTTGGCATAAGCTGTTGTACAAAGATCATGTCAGCAGGAACACCTAGTTAAGCACCAGCTTTTAAAGTTTCCACCTTTTATTACTAGTAAATGATGTTATTGCTTCCTGAAGCGAGCAGCTGCTGAAGTAAAGGGGCGCTCTGAATCTGGGGTACAAAAAGCCATCTCTTTGAACCTTTTATCTTACTGGAGAAGAAGGGAACTTGGATAGAGGACAGGGAGTTAATCCTTTGCAGCTGCCATCCCGTGTTCTCCACACCAGTGTCCCATTTTGCAGTTGTAGACTTTATCTGTAAATCCTACTGAAATTTATGTTTGAGACCAAAAATGTGGGACCAATAAGTACTTTAGGAAGGACTACTCTATTTTTCGTTGTATAAACACCCAACATTGCAGTGCAGATGAACCTGCTATGTAATAATTTTTCATCCAAATTGCTTTCCTTTCAACCTTTCTTTGTAGTCATCCTTGCCTCTGCCTCTTTTTTATGAGTGAATAGGAGCATCTCATAATGAAATCTAGCCTGAACATCGGTCTCTTCCTATACAAAAATCAGAAAAATAAAGCCATGTAGTAACAGCATTTGTGAGTGTCATAGAAAAGAACAGAAAAAGACTAGCATCATCCGTATCTATTGAACTATCAAAACACATCAGAGAACACATAAAATTTTCAGAATTGCTTCAATTAAATCAATAAAAGAGGCATCACTTAGTGGGTTTTGTCTTTCACGGATGTGATCCAAGCTGTTATGTACAATTCTGATTAATAGATTGCTTTGCTTTTTTTATTAAGCATTTAACCAAAAATCAAAGTAGAACCCTATCCAGCCCAAACACCAATTAGCTCATTCGTCCTGGAGCTAATTGGAAAAATTATGCCAGCATCAACATCAAAACCATCACATTTATTAAAATGTCAAAATCAGTTGCTGCAGAAACAGCTGAAATCACACAGTCAGAACCCTCCTCCCACAACATATCCCAAACAGAAAAGTAAAAGGCATTCAGGAGCAAGGTGTAGCAGAAATGAGAGGCACCTGGCAGATACATTCCTAAATGTAATATTTGTAGATAGATTCAAATTTTCTGCAGATGTCCACATCCACCTTGATTTCTTTGAGAGTGGCATACCCCATTTTCAGCTTCTTGTAAAATCTGAGCACTCATTTTGATTCCTGTCCAGGCCCATGGGTTCCGTGAGGAGAGATCCCTGGCAGCCATAAAACCCCTTGGTGCCGTTCGCATAAAGCAGCTATGAAAGTTTTGGGGAAAAAAAACCACTCAAGCAGGCACCTGGTTTAGCCCAAGCACTCATGATAGGAACAGTTTTCGAACAAGAAGCAGCAAAGAGAAAGACACAATTGGGAGGGGTCTAAGCAGGAGCCCTTTACTCCTGCCCTGCTAATGAGAAGACAAGGACATGGCCTCAAAGGACTCTCCTGGTCTCAAAATCACAAATGTGACAGGCCCATCTCTGCAGTGGCACAGGAGAGACCCCAGCAGACCTGAAGTCCTGTTTCCCTCCTGCCCTTCCTGGGATGTGCTCCAGCATCCCAAATTTTGGGTAGCTGCACTGCCAGCAAAACCAGCATATCTCCCGAACTCAGAGCTAAGGGAAAAAACATGTCAGTGAGAGACTCAGAGGGTGTGTGTGTGAGTGCAGGGTCCCTCAGGAGAAACCACTCATGTTTCCTTGCAATTGTCAGAGCTATGGCTGCAGCAGGGGATCACTGGTGGGAACTGAATGATGGAAAGCAACTATCCAGCTCACAGGGTTAATTATCTGCCTGGGCAGCTGGCTTTAAGCAGAGCAGGTGGACACACACTAATTGGGACAGGCAGAAAGCAAGAGGATTTTTGCAGAAAAAGAGGGAAATGAGAAATCCTTGCCAAGAGGAATTCATGTGACAGAATTACAATTTCATGACAGAAATACAAATTTTACCCTGTGCATACTCTTCTTTTCCAGGCTTCATCCTGGTCTTCTTCTGGAAAACTCTATCTCTAATCAAATGTGTCTCTTCTGCAGAATAGGAGACTGTTTGCAATGGCAATTTCTTCCCAGGGTACAGGGCAGCACTTGGGAGAAGTGGATGCTTGAAACAATCTGAGTTTCTGAGAGAGAAGAGGGTAGCTCAGCCTCCATGATTGTTCAGTTACAGCTGCATGGGAGACACAGATTTAGATTGTCTATGAGGTAACACATAGTGCAGTTCAGATCACAAGAGAAAACACAAAAGCAGGAGAAGGAATCAACATCCTGGACCAATTTTATCACTGCTGTGACTGATCATGACATCCTGTGCATGGTTGGGAGCATTTGAAAGACCTCCAGAGTTTTTCAATAGAGCTGCTTTTATTTGCACTTGGCCTTTCTGTCAGCATTTAATCAGTGTGAATATTAAGCCTGGAGAATACACAGGTCTAACAGCCTGAGGAATTGCCACATTTGGACTCACACCCACTAATTTATTTGCTGCAGGGTCAGAAGAGCTGCTGGGTGTTACTTGTGACACACTCTAGCACAACACAGTGCGTGATCAGTGTCTGTAAACGGGTGAAACAGCATTCTGCTACTCATGTAAGCGTACAACAAACTCCTACAAAATGGCACAAAGCTTGATCAACTGCCCTACAGAGAATGGCAGTGAATTAGTTGTAGTGATCTTCTCTAAGCCACCTCCAACAGCATAAATTTGGGCTGCCTTCACAGGCAGCTGTCAGGTGGTGTGAGGTTTTCTCCTTGTGCTTGGGCAACATTACAGTTTTACAGATAATTTAAGAGGTGTCTCCTGCTTTGAGAACCAGGCATTCTTTGATGCAGTCCTGTGTACTTGTAAAATATTTGATGTATACATGGAGTCGAATTTCCCTGGATGCAGCAGGAATCAGCAAAGGAGCCATCAATCTCAGCCTCTCTCCAGGTATTACCTTTCCTGAGGCAATGCAACAAATGCTGCTCTTGCTGCCTTTGAGGTTTCCTCCTTCAGGCTCTGAGAAAGGGTTCAACATGGAAAGCATGACCAAGACCATTAAGACTTTACTGCTTGGCAGTGGGCTGCAGGGCTTTAGCCTGATTTTAGTTGTGAATTAAAATGTGTTGGAGGCAATGGTCTGGTATCAACTATTTCCTTGCATGTGTGGAAGGAAAGACTAGATCGACATCTGATCTTTCCCCATGGAGGCGTTTGCTTTACTGAAGTGAACTTACAAGCCAGAGAAGTTTTCATTACATGAATAATTAAACCATGAGATTCATTATCACAGGCCACACCTGTGGCCACAAATTTAGTAGCAGTCAGAAAGGATTTAGACATTTGTAAGAATAACAAAAATATACAAAGCTACAGATAAAGCACAGCTAACAATTAGAAAGGCACAGTGAATCTTGCCATGCCAAATTTGGCCAAATCTCTGTTAAAAATTAGAAGTTGCTAGTCACTAGCAGTTGCTAGTAGTAAATTCTCCCTGTAAGTGTCTGTATCTCTTCACACTTTATCAAGTCTGGCAGCTGCCCACTCCCTTGAAGCAGCTGTTTTATCCTTGATGCCAGATGTAACCCAGCAAATGAGCCAGTATGTTGATGCAGATTTTGATGAGACTTTTCTTCCAAAAAATTAACATTGCATTTTCATGTCCATAAAATCACAGTGAAATCAAAGAAAATTGTTGCTGCTTTGTAGTTAGGATGTTTAATACCATGAATATTCACTGTTAATTCGAGAGCTGAAAAAAATTGTGATCAAAAGGTGGATGTGCATCACAGAACCGAGTGTTGAAAGACAATGTATGACTGAAAGGAGTTATTAGTAATATTAGTAATAATATTTGCATTTTTTAAACTCTTTCCATTTTGGCTCTTCGAATGCCACATGAGCATCAGTGACTTAAGCCTCCCAGAAACTCTGTGAGGCCCGACAGCACTGCCTTCTGCTTTACAAGCAGAGGAGGCAATGTCTGAATGCTTGCAGCATTGCAAGGCTTCTCATTCCCAATGGGCACAAAGAAGAGTGTTTCCTAAACTGCTGCATCATGTGTTTTAGTACGTGTGTCAGCAAAGTGGCTACAAATCTCTCCCACTAATGAATGCTGTGTGTTTGCATCCAGCTGTTGATTAATAGAATTAAATCAAACAAAAGACCCATTAGATGGAAGACTTGGATCTCTTCTTTTGGAGCCTAGGAAAGGGCTTTCACAGCTCATGCAAATCAGAGGGAGTTTCTCAGGAAACATAGTTTGTACCATGCTAGACAGTGTTAGAAACTACTGTCTAATTACTTACCCTTTACGTTCACTGTCAGATTTAAAGGGCCCACAGGTGATTTCCAGGAGTGCCGAAAAATTGGTGCCTGCTGGTTTCCACTGCAAGTCATCCCTGAAGTCTTCTCAACATTAGTTTGGGAGGTGGTGGTCATACCGTTTTTACTTACATGGCATAGTTCAGGGTTTTGTGAAGTTTTGGAAAGCCCTGGACCTTCTCACTGAGCCCTTGGCTTTAGCTGTGGGTCTGTGAAGAGGAGAGTTGGGGTATTGACTGAATCCCCAGGAGTATGGTAAAGACATCCACTGTGTGGCAGGTAAAAGTCACCTCAAATGCCTCAATAAATCCACAAAACCACTAATGAAAAACACTTTTAAAAACCAGTCTGTCTCCACATAGATGCAGAAATCCAGGCAGCAGCAGTTTACCAGCTGTTGACTGCTTCTGCTTTTGTTGCAGTCCAAAAGCCCTTTCTCACTGGATTCAGCCCCTAAACTTCACTACTAATATGCCTCTGAGTGACATTGTGCAGCTCAGAGGATTTAATGTTACTTTTGCTCACAGGATGTTCCAAATTCACCCAAAGACATTAATTTTCATCAGACTTTAGGTCAGACGTTGTAACTGTGTGTAATCCCTGCCAGAGGCAAACGGGTCTGTTTCAATAGAGCAGGGCAAATCACAGGGTAACATTTCTGCTCCTTGATTGAGTCAGGGAAAAAAATTAAAGCTTCTGTGAAGATCCACACATGTATGAGCTGTCAGGAAGACAGAATAACTACTGTAGGAAAAAAGAAAATAAAGAAAAAAAAGTAGAAAAATAAAGCAACCAAGAGCTTGTGTCAAGGAAGTCCCTCTACTTCTGTGCTGACTAAATGCCAATTCTCCATCCTTCAGGAGAGACTCAGGTGTCCTGGTGTAAGGGAACATGAGGACAGAAGAGTAGCATGTCCCCAAAGTCCCAGCTCTGCTCAGCTGCTCTGAAATGCCACAGATGGACAAGCCAGGGTTTGGAGAGTTAGGATAGTGCTGGTAAAGTGGGGCTGCAAAAAATCAGGGAGAAGGAAACAAGGGGTTGAACATTGAAGAGCAGCCAGTTCTGTGTGCAAATGAGCACACAGAATTCTTCTGTACTTGTGTGCTGGACAACAGAGCTGGTTGGTGTGTGGTGAGGGATCATCTCTTTGCCCACACCTGTGGCTTTTGTGACATCTCCGAGTCCTGTGCTTTTGCCACACTCCCCAATTTTCCCATGCCGAAATTCAGGCTCTTTTTTTTCCCTGAGCAGCAGTATCTACAAAACTTCTCTCCTCTGTCCAAATGCTATTTTCATGAACTGTTTTAGAACTGGATGTCTCTGAGATGGCCTATCCCTCTATCATATTGCTTGAATTGGCCAAGAAATCCCACAGTTATTGAAGAAAAATAGGTTTCCCATGCAATGGTGTGAAAGAAGCTCCAGCCCCATCCACCTTCCTTGTTTGTTTTTTTTTTTGTAGCAGTAGGTAAGAATTAAGGAAAAAAGCTTTTTTAACCCTTGTTCTTCATCAGATTGAAAAGAAGTAGAGTGCTTTTAACTTCCTGATCCATGATGGACATAATGGATAGTGAAGGAACAGGGTATTTCTCCACATTTCTCCTTATCAGATGCCTTCAGGTATTACACATTTTTTGGTCCAAACATTTGTAAGACATTTGGAGTAGTAAGCCACTCTCCATGAGGATAAATGTTAATGACCACCTAGAAACTTCAGCTTTGCATGCCCACCTCCACCCTGTGACCAAACAGCCTCAGGGCATGTGGGAACACAGGGCAACAATCCCACTTGATATCCACTTGAGATAACTCGTCTGGATGCAGCTTTGATGTTTCCACATTGCATGGTGTGTTTCACCTTGGAGGAGCAGAACGCTTTGGGTCATTTGCAATCTTAGTTACAGACTTAATTATCTAAGGAAAGATTTTTCTGCTTCAAGAGCTCTTCTGGCCAGCTTAAAATCTGATCTTATTCATGAGGTGATTTAGTTTTAACTGCAAATCTTCTTTAGTGTCTCCTGAAAAAGATCAAAGAAATGTTCAGTTTAGCTTTTCCAGAGTGACAGCATGGATCATGGGGCGACTGGAGCTCCAAGACAGTTACTTGCAGAGGTGATCACTCTAAGCCTGGTACTGAATTCTGCATGTGTTTGGTCACCTCCATAGCTCAGTGTACGTGTGACTCCAGGGCAGGCAGTGATCTATTTTAGCTCTTTATCATTTTATATAACCTTCCTGAATCACAACAAGCTGCTAGGTCACAAGCCTTACTGGTTTACTTACCCCTCAAGTGCCTCTTGGGTGTTAGAGATGCAGCCCAGGCAGGATACCACAGTCTGATTTGCACGACCTTTCCAATCAGTGTAATAATCTTTGAAGGCTTCTCAGGTCTCATATCTATTTCAAGAGCCTAGAGGATCCCATAGGAGAAGGAAAACAATGCTCTGGGAGCTGAGGAGGGCTCGCAGGCAGCATGAGGAACAAGTATTCCGTGGCTCCCTGAGGAGGACAACCCTGAAGAGGACTGCTAATATGGGAAGTAGAATAGGAATTGCCTAAGTGCTGCTTTAATTCTATCTAGAAAGTATAAGTGGGACTTAAATGATGAAAATACCTTGAGCACAGCAATGAATTTTGCCCCTTGCAAAGAGCTGATGATCAGAATAAATGTGTTGCTACAAGAAGATAAGGGCTTAGGAGGAATGAGCAGTTTGATGGCAAATTACAGCCTATTTGTGAAGAATTTGTGAACTTATGTGTACAAAAATAATTGATTAAGTTATCTGAAATGAGTCACTTGAACAGCCCTAGGATGAAGGATTATTTTCAGAATCAAAGATGTACGTCTGCTTAAGATACGTGTGCTGAAGCTCTTCATTGCTTGAGCTCTGTTGTATCTTTTTTCTAGGTGGGTGAAGCAGTCCTTGAAAATGCTCGTCTTATGCTGCACACCGAAAACATTCAAGCCTGTGCTGAAGATTTTAAAGACAGGTAGTCCTGTGGTGGCACCCAGCTGGCCACTTTCTTTAAACTTTGCCTTTGTGAACACTTAATTTCTAGGGGTGTAATGCTAGGGAGTAGAATGCACTTGTTTTTTAGGTTATTAGGCATATTCATATTCAACACCCTGATCTGGGAGAAAAATAATGATGGTGCTAATGTTATTTTGGAAGATTTTGAAGATTCATAGTAACAAAAATGTGCACAAGCACAAGCAAAATAGACCTAAGCTATTCTTAACATAGACATTTGTCTTAACACAGACATTTGTCTTAACACGGTATTCATTCAAAATTGGGTTGGCACTTTATAAAGGGGAAACTTCCATGTGCTTTTTAGTTGTAATTTTCAGTACTTCAGTACCAAAACAAAGTGGTTGTGGAAGTTACAATCATGCTGCTACTGCCACAAAGCAAAAGCTGCGCCACTACAGACATCAGGGTGGAAATATTAGACAAGAAAACAGAAACTGGCTGAGCTGATTTTCCTTTACTGAGAAATTTAAGTAATAAAAGAAGATTTTAAACACTGGCAAACAATTTTTTATTGTCTTTCTGTTTGAAAAGCCTGATAGTCATGTGTATGAGTGCATGAAGCTTTTCAGATTTTACTCAGGAGACATGATCCTTCTAGCTTTTTTTACTCATAATGGTCTAATGGTCTCATTCATTTACAAATAGCTTTTGCAAGCTCTGACACAAAAACCATACTTCAAAGTAATTGATTTTTATATCCCATGGTTTTTATCATCCCTTAAATTTCTTTTTCTCTCTCTCTGGCATTATTTTATTTAACCATAAAACCAAAATGTGTTAGTCATTCTTAAGTTTGCCTTTTATTTCAGAAAGGTACAAGTCTGAGATACTTGTTTGGCTTTACATCCAGAAAGTTACATTATATTTTATGCAGTTTTGAAAAAATACTTTTTAGAAGTGTCAGCTGACTTGGACAAGCAGTCTACATAACTAAAAACAATGTTGAATCAATCTACTGCACAGTGAAAGCTCCTGGGATTAGCTGCCACTCTCCCAAGCTTTAAACTCCCAGCAATGAAGGTGGCTATCAAGGAACAAAGTGTTTATGAAGCAGGTTCCAAACTAACCTGCCAACCCCTTCTGTCTAACCTTCCTGGCCACCAGGTCCCCAGGCTGGACAGGTTTGGAACAGATGTCTCCCACCCAAGGAGATTGACAATGCAATCCACATTTTCAATGGAAAGCCTAAACCAAAAAGTTACAAACAAGAGCAGTGCAGAAAGCAGTGCTGTGGAACAGAAACTGCTTGCCAAAATTTCCCTACCATTACAGCCATGGTTTGGAAATGAGCTGTTTGTTCCAGCAGCAATTCTAGCTGACAAAGCAACCACAGAAATTTCCTCTTTGATACTGCTGGGATTTGGTCTTAGGGATGGGCCAGGACCCTGGAACATAGACCTGACTTCCATCAGCATGTCTGTTAGCAAAAGTAATGCTTGGTGTGCATGTTTTTTCTTTAACCATTGCTCTAAAAGGTTTTTATGTAGACAAGTGAGTAGGTATTCTCATTTTACTGACAAGACCACTGAGAAAAAGCTACCTGTGGTGATACTGTATATAAATATTAGATCTAGAAAGAAACCATTAGCCTCTCCATGCTTTTTCTGGAATCCTATCAGCTTGATAACCATCATAGCACATACTGCTAACTTGGCCTGTTTTCTTACACTCTGAATTAATGACAGGGTACTTTGGGCAGTTAACTTCACGTATGAAGAGACAAAGTGAGAGCAAAGTAAACTGTCTGTGTTTCTGTGCCTCTGTCTGGGACACATTCGCTAATTAGCAGAAATAGTGTCATTCAGAAAAAAAGACAGGTTTTACTTGCTGAGCTGTGCTGTGTTGAAGTTTGGCTTTTTTTTTTTTTTTTTTTCTCTGCAGGTATGAAAATGAGCAGCCATTTAGAAAGGCAGTGGAAGATGAAATTAATTCCCTATATAAAGTGATTGATGATGCTAATTTAACTAAAATGGATCTGGAGAGTCAGATAGAAAGCATGAAGGAAGAGCTAACTTTGCTGTCAAAGAATCATGAAGAAGTAAGTCCAGACTCGGGACACTGCAAAGCCAATGTGTGCCTGTTTCATCTGGTTGGTATCACACATCTAGTGCAAAGCAAACATTAAAACTCCTCCTGCCATGACTGGGTGGGGGGATTTTCCTGAAACCTACTCCTATTTCTTCCTTCTGTTTTAACTCCGAGGACTAACCCTTGAGGCATTATCAAATTACTTACATGTAGGTGTTAACTCTTTCTCATTTGATAAATGTGACATGGAAGAGATGCCATCTCTTCTTGTCAGACACCACGTGATGGTCCAGGGGCTGCACAGTGATGTATGTGGACATCTCAGCAGTGAGATCAGAAGAAAGGACAAAGTGCAGGTGCAAGGCACCAGCTCTGGTCCTGCTGCACTGATGTTGAGCATTAACCAGGTTCTTATGAAAACACCCTGCTTGGCTTAGCAAGGTGTTCGGTTCCCAAAACTGAATCTATCTTGAGAAGCACAACACTAAAGCAAGTCACAGGGACAGTGGCATGAAGGAGTGGCTCTAAAGAATCATCATCAAAGGTGCTGGCAAAAGCAGGTTTAATATGAGATGTGAAAGTGCAATTTAACTTTGATGGGAAGGTTCATTTTATTATAATGAAGCTCACAAAGGAAAATTGGATTAGAGTCAATCTAGAATGGTTTACATGGAAATTGGGGACGCAGAGAGTAAAGGTGCCAAAGGACAAAGATTCAGAAGGGTTAGGGGAGGCCCTCTCATTGAGTTATGAGGTTCAGAGCAGATACCCTTGCTTTCTACACTCCTGATGGAGATTAGGTGCAGCTGAGTCCAAACTTTACCTCAGATTTGGTCAATGGTTTATGGCTAAAGGATTTGTCAGCACCTGATCACTAATTCAACATTTACAAAATGATCCAATAAGATTTCATATAAGCATGGTAGTAACTTAACAGTAGATCTGGGATGGCAGTATTCATATTATACTTGCAATAGGGTATTTAAATCTATTCACACACTCATACAAACAGACATGAAGAAGTTTGTACAAAGGTGCCTATTAAAAATTTCCCTCAAGTTCAGTGCAATACTCAAATCAGATGCTTCTGCATCTCTCAACAGGCGAGGGCTGAGCCTTGAGGAGTAGTGGGGATATCCCAGGCCCCACCATCAGCATTTGGCAACAAGTATTGAGTATTGCAAACTCGAGAGCTTGTTGGCTCCAAGAGGTGTCCCAGTAAGAGGGAGATTGCTGCTCACAGCCCACTGCAGTCCAGGAGATCTCAAAGGGCCTCACTCAGGACTACTGTCCCAAGATGATTGGCTCCAGTCATCTGCCAATCTCCATCCTGGCTGTAATCCAAGATGGTAATTATTGGAGTTTTCCCCAGAAGTATGGTAACAAAAATATTGTTCCACTTGGGCTGTGATTCGGACAAGTTATATTCCAAGGTTATGATAGCTGACTATCTTGTCCCTGTCCTTAGTTAGGGAACAGAAGTTTGTTAGGCAACAGAAGCTCCTAGGAACAGTGTTTCTGATAAACTTAAGGGAAGCTTAATTGCTCAGGAGCCATTGATTGATTAAGGCTGAAGTCTATAAAGAATTCCTGAAACCACAGAGGATCCTGAGTGGGTGGAGAGAATGCACCACCACAGACAACCAGCCAGAAGAGAAGCCCATACTACCCAATTTTGCAGTACTTTCCTACTTACTGCATTCACCAACACTATTTGCATGAAGGTGGTTTACTTCCTTCAGCAGGGATTTCAGGACTGAACACAAATCAGCATCTTTATTTATGGGGACTTTAATATGGAGCTGTTACTAATCCCTCATTAGGGACAGCAAACAACTGTGCTGGTGCCTCAAAAGTAAGATAAAGCTTGAATTGTGATGGTTCATGAAAGCAAGATACTATCCTGCCTTACATTTCTTACTAGTTGTTCCTCCAACCACAAGATTTCAGCAACACTGGCTTGCCAAGATGAGGTTGCATCACCAGCTCTCTACTTGCATCAGTCTAATTCCAAGGTTGGCATTTTGCAGAAAATAACCAGTGGCTTCATTACCAGTGCATGGCAGAAGATGGCAGTTGTTTTAGATAAGAGGGTAAAGAAAAAAATGATAGAAATAAACAAGATCCTCTTTAAACCTCCAAGTAATGCAATGACTGCTGTGAAACCAAAAAAGCAGGTGCTGATGCTGTTCTCTGTCAGTACCTATGGCATAATGAGAACACCACCTGTCCATCTTGATCCTCATGTAGCCAGCAAGGAGTGGAAAGCAGAGTGGAAAGATGCTCTTTTCTTTACCTTTTGGGAATACCTGAGCATTTGCAGAACCACTTAAGCACAGGCCTGGTTTTCCTATGGCAGCAGCACCAGGGGAAGCTGCTTAAGAGAAGTCACAGAATAAAGGCTAGAAGCAACTATTGCTGAGCTCTGGCACAATAAAGTCCCAAGGACTTTCCTGAACTAATCCAAAATTTTCTTTCCACTGGTGCTCCCACTACCAAATCCATGTCAAGTCCTTTTGAAGCTTTTGTGAACTTGGAGTGGGCACATTTTGAGGTTTGCATTCTTGCAGATTCATAATTCACATAATTCCCATCCATTTTTTCCAGTCTTGTCACTGTCAAGGGCCATTGCTTACAAATACAATTCCCAGATGCTTCTACACTACCTTTTTTTTGTGCCAATAACAGATAAACAGGTTGATATAAAAGGATTGCAGTGCCAGACAGTTAAGATACATGTGAAAATCTCATTCATTCTTGTGTTCCTGAACACGATGTGCTACCTTTAAGTGTGCAATTCTAGACCTGATAATTCTCTACTGGTTACATGGTTTTGGAGCACTTAAATGTAAAGAAGGAGCAGAATGCTGCCACAGAGGAAAATCCTCTTCATCTAACATGCATGTGCATAAAACACACACTTGTCTCACACAAGCTGTGAGGCTGTAGAGCTGCTTTGCACATCTTGTATCTTCCAGTAGATGCAGGCCCATGCTCCTGCATAGTGCAGCAGCAAGGGAGGAGTTTTTGATAACCTTTAAACTGTTAGTTCCTCGGCCCAAAGTCCACACTGCAGCTTTACTGGCAATGTATGTAGTGATTTTGGGTCCCAGCTATGCAGCATGCACTTGTCAAGCACTGGCTGCTGGAGAAAATTGCCACTGTTGAGAGGGCTGCTCCAGGCACTGCCTTGGTGCAGGGCTTCAGTCTCCTTCCACCAAGGGGAAAAAACTCTTCCAGTACCTTAGATCTGCAGGAAGAGACCCCATGCAGAAGCAAGGCAAATCCACATCTGAAGGAGAAACCCTTCAGTGCACTAAATCATTAATGCAGAGATACCTTTTGGAACCAAATTTAATTTCTCTGTTTGTGGCACCAAAAGAGCTCTTCCTCGAGCTTCTCTGAAGATACCATTCAATTGTCCAGTTCACTTTCTTTATGTTTGTTATTTTTGTTCAAGGATGTGAAGGTATTATACAAGCAGCTTGCTGGATCTCAGCTGGAAGAACTTGATGTTCCCCTGGGAAGTGGCCTGGATGACATTCTGGAAAAAATCAGAATCCACTGGGAGAGAGACATTGAAAAGAATCGTGCTGAGACAGGTGCCCTGCTCCGTACCAAGGTCAGCACTCTGTAAACCACTCCAACATCACAGGGTATCAAGCAAACACAAAATCTCTCTAATATTCTGCAATATCTTTGAGGGTTGGGTGTTTTTTTGAAATAGAAAAGATGCTAAAAATCTAAAGTATTTTGGTCCAATTCCAAAGGAGAATGCACTTATAAATATAAAGGCTTCTTGGGATACACAGAGTTAAGCACTGGTGGAAATGGCCCTGTTCATATCCCCAGTATCTGCGGGAGCCTTTCAAGGCTCTGAAATGTTGGCTAAGAAAACTAACTTAATCAGTTGATACCTTTACACCTTTTGTGTAGGATAAGCCACTGTTATTACCCTTCTTACTAGGGCTGTTCCTCCACTTAATAATTTACAAGGGTCCATAAATAAGGGCAAAACACATTGCCCTCTACACTCCTTGTTGGTTTTGCTTCCTTTGGCAGCAGCGGGAAAACTAGATATTAACTTAGAAATGAAAAGTGATGATAATAGCCATTCCCTTTAAACAGGGATTCTCCTCTTCTGAGGCTGAGTCTGAGACAGCCTATTAATGCAGGTTTTTCTCTGTCGTGAAGGGTCACTCATTTTCCAAAATGTCTGGCTGAAGTAAGTATTTTTGCACAGCTGAAGCATTAAGTTCAGTGGACGATGTTAGAAGCCATCTCATTCTGAGTTGGCTCTTACAGCAGAGCATGACAGAGTAAATCAGGAGAGCAACAAAGATGGTGAAGGGCCTTGAAGGAAACCCTGGTGAGGAGCAGCTGAGGTCACTTGGTCTGTTCAGTCTGGAGAAGACTGAGGGGAGACCTCATTGCAATTACAACTTGCACCTGAGGGGAAAAGGAGGGGCAGACACTGATCTTTTCTCTCGGGTGACCAATGACAGGACCTGAGGGAATGGTCTGAAGTTGTCAGGGGAGGTTTAGGTAGGGTGTTAGAAAAAGGTTCTTCACCCAGAGGGTGTTTGGGCACTGGAACAGGCTCCCCAAGCCTGACAACCAGCACCAAGCCTGACAGAGTTCACTAAGTATTTGGACAATCCTCTCAAGCACATGGTGTGATTCTTGGGGATGGTTCTGTGCAGAGCCAGGAGCTGGACTCGATGATCCTTGTGGGTTCCTTCCAACTCAGCATATCCTGTAATTCAGTGAAATCATAACTGCAGCAGCACTGTTGAAATACTTAGCAAAACCATATAAACATATCTCCAAGGTAAAGAGCTGCCATGAGAGGTATAGGGGTATCGAAGGGAAACAGCAAGAAAAAACAACAAAACCAAGAAATATGTTCGCAAACATATGTGCAAGCTCTGAGTTAATTTTCAAAATAAAGAAGAAAAATCCTGTGACAACAGTGATACCAAAATTTCTAGGAAACATACAAGAAGCCAAGCAGAGGGGTTTATCCCAGAGGTCCCATCAAGCTTGTGAGAATGCCAGACTTATTATGCAAAGTTTTCATCAAGTTAGTCTGTGGGGTCTGATTTTTAGCTCATACAGTCCAAAGGAAGTGAGTGACACAGTAAAAAAACTACACGAGCCTGGAGAATGCCTCCGTACAGAGCACATGCAGCCCTGAAAAGCCAGGGCATCCTCAGTAGCCTTTTGAGCTTTCCCCAGAAAAAATCTGTTCCTGACTCACTCTGCCAGGTCTCAACAAAATGAACATCACTCTGATGGCACCAAATTCTTCAGTGTTCCTGCTTGCCTGTCCTGCTGTTCCTCTTCCTTCTCCTGTGCAAAAATTCCCTTGCAACTTTTTTCTTCCTGCTTCTTTCATACCCTCAATAACTGGTCTTTAAGCTACTCAGAGATATCTTTTGGGGAGAAAATTGACAGTTCTTAGTACACTGCTCTGTCATGTCTTTGATACCCAACCCACCCCTACTCAACCATCTTAGCCTATTGTTCCTGTTTTGGTTTGGTTTTTTTATGGAACAAAGAAACAGAATATCACAGATTTCTGGAATGATTGGTTCTGGTTCTGCACAGATTCTGGTAAGACATTCTAGGGTCTTTTTTTCCACCAATTAAACCCAGATGATGCAGTTTTGTGTCCCTTATCTCCTACAGGCACAGATTGATTCAGATTACTACTATTTATACAGATGACAAGAGTTTAGCTTTTATTAACTAAGCTTGTGGTTTTATATCATCTTTTGTAGTTAAGTTGTATCATTTGGTTATCCACACAGCAAAAAACTCGCCCTTGCTCTTTTGTGACATCACAGGAGGGGGAGCAGTTCTCTGCACTCCTTTGCTCTTCATTACCAGTTTTTTCAGTGTCTCTCTGTGAGGTTTGCTTGATCCCTAATATTTTAGTTTCCTTTTTCTGCACCTACTCTCTGATGTACCTGTGACCAGCTCAGACCAAGGTGTTTGATGTCCTAGCACTAACTTAGACATGAGGGCAGTATTTTTGTTATTTTCTGACTAATTACCTTGCCTCATTTGCTTTGACTTGTGACTAGATTTGCAATCTTGGCTAGATTTTTCAAGGATATTTGGCCACCAAAACACACCAATTTAAATTCATATTTAATGGGGTTTCACATAGGCCTTTTTCAGATGAACAACCTCAAAACTCAAGTCCATTGGTTTCACCTGTACACTTTTTTGTCTCTAGTGGTCAAAATCTTTCCCCAGTTTGACACGGGTGATTCAAACCCTTGCAAGACATGCATGCTATTTAATGTTTTTCCCTGGAAAGATGCTTTACTTACTGATGTGCTGTTCATTCATGTAGCTTGATCCACATCCACCCCTGCTCATTGCTAATCCATATAGTTTTCTGTCATCCATAAGTCCTTCTAGTTCATGCTTCATTCCCAATGCAGTAGACCTTGAGGCATCAAGCTGTTAAGCTTCTGTCTTAATGGAACTAGACCTTAATTGTCCTCTTTATGTTCTGTCTCTTGACCAGCTGTTGACCCATGGAAATATTCTTCCCTGAGCATGCAATTACACAGCTTTCTCTGTTGTCCTCATAATAGGTTCTGAAAAATCTTGTGAATTATGCCAGTTGTTTCTCTCCTTTGCTAAAATTTCCCCAGAACTCTCAAGAGCTTTTCAAAGTAACTGTCTTTCTTCAGATACCATGCTGGTCTACTCTGGGTGTTGGGTGTTCCATTCCTAATCATTCTTTCATTATCTGGATTCCATGAAAAACAGACTACTGAGGGATTCTGCGCTCATGCACAATGCTTAGCTTGGAGCTGTACAGACATTTGAAATTCACAGATTCCTAGGAAACTCAAGCATCAACATGATAAAGACTTAGGAAGATGATTTCATCCTCTCCCTCCATTAATCCAGTTGTTTGTGGTTACCACATGTATAGCCTTTACCTCATGAAGCATCTCGGGAAAAGTCCCCAGAAAACATGAATTGCCTACTGAAGAGGACACACGGACTACTTCTGCACTTCTCCACAGAAGGAACCCCAAAGATTTTGTGAACACTTAATTTGTAGGGGTATCATGCCCAGCAGGGCCTCACACATGGACACTTGGGCTGGTAATCCTGTAAGGAGGGTGGGGAAACCTTGTGTGTCCCAAAAGCTTTAGAGCACATTCAGTGTGTGCTCACTTGCTGTGTCCTCCTCAGTGTTTAGGACCTGGTGCAGCCATCTCCATCTACTCCACCTGCCTGTTCTCTTGTTCACACCACTACAGTCAGGATCACAGCTTAAGGCAGCTCCTGGAAGGGCTTCAATGCCACCTGTGGTGCGGGCAAGCTGGATTTATAGGTAGCATTTGGGCCACCAGCAGGGTAAATGTGAAAGCCAGGCTTCTGGTAATGGGTATAGGCTATAACACCTTCCCTTCCCTGTGTTTCTCTTTTTAAAGAGACATCTGCAGTCCTCATAGCCTAAGAAGGTGCAGACTACACTCTTAACACCACTTAGGAGACACAATTTCCTGAAGAGTTGCAGGTCCATGATCACTGGTTCACCAGGAATAGAAAGGTAGAATTAAGTCTCTCTGAAGCACAAGCCCCAACAAAGCATTTCCAGAAAACACAGGATCTGTGCAATTTTCTGGAAAGGGCAGGTTTGGTGCTTGGATTCAGCCCTCTGCAATACAGGTTCTTAAATCTAAATTTGTGTTTGAGACTTAATTGGTATTTAAATAACCTTTTACCACTGAGGCTATTTAATTCACAGTGTGCAAGGTGAGGGGTTCATATGGTAGTAAAAAAAAACAAAACTATTTTTGGTGTATGGTCCTAGATTTTTTAAAATTCGATCTTACTTTTTAAATAAAAGAATGTATAATCAGAAAAGCAGAACAGGGTCAAGATGAAGTTTCAGAGTGGGATGGAAGTATTTTGCATAGTTTAATTTTAGCATCAGCCACAAGAAATGTAGATTTTGACTGAAGAATTGTATTTTCTAGAGAGCCCTGGGCTGAGAAACCTTGATCTCAGCCCTTGTTAAAAAGTATAGAAATTCTATTTTTACTAAGGTACTTTTTCCTTCATCTATTTTCAAGGAATCTGAACTAAACACATATAAAACCCCCCAAGCCACAAGAGCAGGAAACAGCATAGTTAACTTATAACTTAATTAACAGATTTTTTTTTTTTAACCCCTGTGATATGACTTGCTGTCTGACTCATAGAATCTTAAGTGTGAAATTAAGGTGTGAGTAGTTCTGAAGACACAAAACTTTTTAAGAAATACTATAGCATGGCTATAAAATGAACAATTACAGCAATGTTTTTCTCTTTAGAGATAACTTTAAACATACAAGTATGAATTCTGAACAGCTGTTGTTGACATGGATAACACAAATACGCTTGTATGCATAAGCCATTTTACAGTAAATGCCTAGAAAATATGATAATTTTGACACTAAGAAGTATCCAGAATTGTTCAACTGAGGGATTTAATACACAGGAATCAAACTTAGAGTCAGAATTGCCACAAACTGTGAAAATATTACTGTCAGTTTGGGATGTAAGGAAGCTAAACCGTAACTTGCGTAGGCTGTGATGACAGTCGCCTTCTTTCACCAGCAACAGGCTGAGACGATGGCTGCCGTGCGAACCCAGGAGGAAGAGCTTGTGGAGGGCCTCAGAACCGAGTTCCACGAAACTGCCTGCAAAATACAGAGCTTGCAAGCAGAAACCGAATCTTTGAGAACCTTGGTAAGGAATGCTGGGTTTTCAGTGGGTGTATTCTCTGCAAACTCAACACACACTCTGAGCGGAACATTCCTGTCTCGGGATGAAGAGTTAAGAATGAATCCCATTTTCCACCAGAGATCATTTCCAGAGATGCCAGACATCTCTGGGCTCCTCTTGACTGAAATGGTGCTCTAAGTGTACCACATTTGAAAACCAGGTTCCAAATTTCCATCTTCAGTGTATTCATATTCAATCTCACTGAGATTTCTTGGTAGTGTAGTACCAGACAATGTGAGGAGTATCTGCACCTTGTAAAAGTGCTTCGACTTCTGTAATGACAATACCTAATATCAAGGTAGCTAAGAAAAGAATTCTCAAAATATATATAGTCAATAGAGATACTGGTCAAACCAGAATAAAAATCACTATGAAGCATATGGAAATTGACTGATTTATTGTCTACTGTCCTGCCCTTGCAGAAGAGGGGTCTGGAGAACTCTTTATATGATGCCAAGCACTGGCATGACATCGAACTGCAGAACCTGGGCTCTGTCATTTCCAAGCTGGAGGCAGAGATGGGAGAAATCAAAGTAGAAACTGAGCAGCAGCAGAGGGATCGTGAAAATCTGCTGACTAGCAAACAACAGCTGGAGAAAGACATTGCTGCATATCACTGCCTCCTGGATGGAGAGCAAAGCAGGTACTTGTCCTTAAAAGGATGGAGAACACTCTTCTTGGGAAGGGGTTGTGAGGTTGCTGGAAGCAGAAGGACTGGGGTGTTTCTCATGTTTCATAAGGTTAGCTGGTAGATGGTGAGGTTTGGAGAAGCTGCCAAAGGGGAAGAACACACCAAATCCCATCACACAGAGATTCCTGATATATTGGAGATGGGTGGTTTCCAGCACTATCACAGAAGGACATGGTTTGTGAACATGCCATGAGTTTCACTTCTCTGAAGGTTTGAAACGCAATATTAAAAAGCTAGGGGGCTTATAATATTAATTATAAATATTAAAAACCAGGGGCTACATTAGTGGCTGCAAAGCAGATGTGTTGTTGTTTCTTGATATGAATACATTATGCCATCCCTCCTCCTCCCTAAATACAGTCCAAATATTATAGCTGTGATCCTGGAAAAACTCCCTTTCTAAGCTTGTAAGTTCCCCCTGAAGTCCAAGGATGAAATCTGGACCACTGACTGTACCTTTTGTGAAGAAATGTGGCTCCGACTCTTAAGATTCTTCCCCTGGGAATAACCTGTAAACACCTTTACAGTGGTTGGGTTGGGTTGCTTGGTTGGGCTTTTCTAAGATCCTTAATCACGCTTAATCATGGAACCTCTGAGAATCAGATCCACAGATTTTGACTTGCTCTTCTGCTCAGGCCAGGGAGAATTTTAAAATAATCCGACCTTGCCGAAGATGGTGAGATTTCACCAGCTGAATTGAGGATAGAACATGGTTCAGCAATTTTTCTGTTTGCAGTAGTGACCAATTTTTATCTTTTTTTTTTTTTACTTTCAGCTGATTATGAAACTCCCAGCCCACAGAAGACCATTGCCATTAAAGTAAAAGATGTCACTGCCAATTATGTTCGTGGAAGCTAAAAACCCATCCAAGCAGCCTGCTTTATTCAGTTTGATTCAACCATCAAAGTAGGTTGTAGCTTGAACAACTTTATTAGACCCTCTTCATGTAATTGCTTTGCTTACAGACTTCAATTTACTCAAGTTGTTAAAATTATAATAAAAATGAAGAATATCAGGCTTTTGTTTGATTTTTTATTTCCTTCCAGTATTTTTCATGATAGCTGGAGGGGGCTGGATTAAGATTATCAGCTTTTCATTTCCCACCAAGTAAACTCTTTCTTTTCACGGTACAAATATACCAAGACTGAGCTACCCCTCCACTGTGCACACATCACCCACATGGAACTGATGAGTGCTCTGTTGTGTCACAAGACCATCAGCTCAGTAGTGTGAAATCTAATTCAAATAATGTAAAGGAGCTAAGTGCACTGTTAACTCAGTGTGATTAATTTTGCAACATGTAAACCAGCAGAATCATTAATCCAAGCATCCCAAGAGTACTTTATAAACACATTTTTATGTTTAGACTAAACTTCTGGCAAAGCTGAAAGTGTAACAGCAGTTCTGCCTGCATCCAGATTACATCTTTTTACTGTATACTGAAAGTCTAAGCCAGGGTATCAGTTTGTGCAAATTTGATACTTTTTGATATATTGATATAGTTTTATATTTGTTTTTATATGGTTGCTCTTTCTTAATATCAACATCCCTCCAAGGTAGGTTGGCCGCACTTTTGGACAGGAGTCCACATAGCATCAACCTGACCTTAGGTTGTTTCCTGTACTTTGACAGCATCACAAGGAAAAAGATTTGCCGTCTTTCACTTTTAACTTTTATATTTTAAACACTGATAAACTTGTTGCATTGGATATGCAGTATGGTCACATAAAATGCCAAGATGGATCTTGCATTTTCAGAGAAACGTAATGAACCTTAGCTCCTATCACAAGATTTTAGGCAGATGGCTGGCTTTCCTTCACAAGTTACCACACAGCGATGAAGTTAACCAGACGTGTTTGTTGGATTGGGACTTCACAAGACCTACAGTTACACTGGGTGACAACACAGTTCATCAAATGGACTCAAAGACTACTAAGAAACGGCCTATTAGAGAACACAATGGCATAGAGCACATACAAGAGGTAGGCTTTAGATATTTTGATTTTTAATTGAAATATTAGCTAAGAATTATTAGATTTTACTACTTAGATTTTAATGACTGATAAAATCAAATACCCTCTGAATCCACTGAACTTGATCCAGCAGTGAATTACAGGAATAAGGGCACAAGTGCTGTCATGCTTTTTCTTGTACATTCCCTCACACATGAAAAATCCTTCCTGATGCAGCTGCTTGATAAATGATCCTTCATTTAATCTCTGCAAAAAGTCCATCTGGCATGTACCACCTGCAAGATTTTTATAAAAAAATTACTGGATTAAAAGATTACCCAACAACCAAAAAATAAAGGCAGATGATGTCAGATTCTGATTTGTTGTTTGGTTTTTGTTTTTTTTTTTCATATAATGTAGGTTCCTCAGAGCTGCAAAAATACTTTCTTATACATCAATGCAGACAGAATTTACCAAGCTGAGACTCAATCAAGAACAGTGATGATGACAGAAAATACACACAAACAGTGATACAAGAAATTAGATGGCACACGCCCTTGGGTTGGGGCTAACTGGTTGGTGTCTAGGAGTGATGACTTTTTGGCATTAACAAAACATAACCTCCCACTCATTCCTGACACAGAAGAGAACAATGTCCCTATGATTTGAAAGTGAAGAGGGAATTTAAAAAACATAACAATATACAATCTGGATTCAGATCATTTGCTATCTTCTAGTGATGCTTCAGGTATAAAAAGCAACTGACTATCCCACTGTGAAACTATTCTTTATAAATGTCACTCATGGAGATAAACCTGATGAAATTCTGAGTCCACAGTTATACTCAGATGTGAAAGATTTTTTTTTAAGTTTTTTATATGCCATGATCCATTATACTCCATAAAAATTAAATTAAGTTAATACTAAGATGTTTATTCATTGGAATGGAAATTGTTTCTTTCAAAATCAACCAGGTATTTCAGCATGGACAAGTGTCTGGAAAAGGAGGAAGCATCTAAGCATAAATAATGAATTCCCAGCAGCTTTTCTCTCTATTCCTAGCAAAGACCAAAAACCACAGAAAAGACTGTTTTTGTGAACAGTCCATCAGAAGTTAAAAGTAGCATATCTGGCCCTTCTAAATCAAAGTTCTTTCATATTAAGTGCTAAATCTCTTGTGAAGAAATTTCTGTGCACTTTTACACAGATTCCTGTGGGTACCTAGCTGGCTATGCAGCCCCTCCAGGCTGCTTGAATGCTGTCTAAGCACTGACAGTCTTCACCGTGTGAGATGGGATACTGAGAGTATGAGAAACTAAAGGCTTTCACATCCATTTGTAAGCACTAAGGTTCATAAACTGATATAAGCTTTATATAGCTTTATATTTATGCTCTAGTCTAGCAGTTGCTTTATTAAATACACACAAACATGTTTCCAACTGGTTTTCCTCAGAAAATCAGCACCAGAAAACGGATTTTATTATCACCCACTGAAGTATCTCTCACACCTATATTCCTGTGAAGGAATTTGAGGCATTTGCTGTTATGAACACTCAGGATGCAGAGAGCACAGATAATACAATCTAACAGCCAGCTGCTGCACAAAAGGACATCTCTGTATCCCCTCATGTACTATTTATTCCCATTGCACTGTCTTGTGTTAGCGCCAACATCTGTCTGATGTCTCAGGAGACAGCTCAAGATTCAAAATCAACAGAAAATTAGCCCTGCAAAATGCTGGGTGACTTTCCTGCTACTTGGTTCCCTGAATCAGGCCACTGCAGGGAGAGACATGTACCAAAGGCAGCACAGGGATGGGAGGGGGAGAGGTACTAATCCAGACTGTAAAGCACAGCCACCCCCTTAGTGACAGCTACTCACTAAGTCAGATGAGCTGGGCTATGAAACCATATGTGTACTTTATACTCCTCCCAGCCAAGCACAGCTTCTTCTGCACCACAGCCTGAACCCACACTGCTGCATCCTTGGGGGAAGGAGAGGGCGCCAGCTCTATGTGAGCCCCTGCCTCATTTAAGATTTCATGCTAAGCAGCAACATAGCACACCAGCTAGGAACTGGTATTCTAGCCTATCATTCTACTGTTTATATTTTAGTATAAGAACTATTATACTGATTCTGTGGTTAAAAGATTATTTTTAAGGTCACTTTCACTCTGGCATTGTCTAAAATTTAACAGTTTAACTAACCACCATGCACTGCTGGCACCAGTGCCTGTGTTCAGATGGCAATCAGTGGTGGAGAAATGAGCACAATAAAACTTCTCTCTTCTGGCTGTAGACATCTGAAACTACAGCAAACTCTGAGCTTAGAGCTTAAGCTCCTAAAGAGAAGTGGGCCCATGACGTGACAAAGACTCCACCAGAACCTTTCTGCAAGCTGCTCTGCACCTAAGGGTACCTTCTCCAATTTCCTTAAGCAGGCATCTGCCCAGGAGTCACTGAATGTTTTTCTGCTTGTGCTCTGCAAATGTCAAAGGAGTTTGCAGTGCTGTCACCTTCATGTCACAGAATGGAGATAATTGGGTACAAAGGAAGATGAAACACTGGGAGACTGGAAATGGAAGCCTGCTCCTAACTCTTGCATCACCCACAACTCACTCCAACTTTCCTTCCTTCAGTTTCTCCAAGGAAACAATGGCTGCTGTATCACTTACCCTACATGCAGTAGTGCTTCACACCTCAGGCTTTATAAAACACACCAAGGTGCACAGGGAGCAGCATCATGGCAGGACTTGCCATAGCTACAGAATGGAGAAGAGGGAGATAAGCACCACTGTATGTGGAGGAGAGAGAGACAGTCCTCAGTCTGGTCCTGGGGGTAAATCCATACCTGAGCAGAGGCACTTGGAGCGCCGTGTCTTGCCAAAGGCGGGTCACACAGGTCAGGGATGCAAAGTACAGCAGGGAGCCGTGTGCTGAGCTCATGCTCCTGGCACTGCAATGTGACATTTTGGATATATTCCTTGCATTACAAACATCACTTCTGCCAGTCTGTGCCTGCAAGCAATTCTGCAGCCAAGTGTCCTCTGTGCAAGTATTGAGGGGCGTTGAATTTGAAAAAGGAAAAGAAAACCAAAAAACCTGACCTTTTCTCTGCACCTAACTTTTTACACAATAACAATCTTAATGGTAAAAGCTGATGCAATGCATTTGCACAGAAAGGCAAACGCCATGCGTCAGCACATTTTCACAATTTTACATAAAAATAAAACTAGAGGTGGGAGGTAAATCCAAGCATAACTGCATAACTAATACTTCCTTTAAAGCACCAACTGAGACATGTCTTTAAATCTGGATCTAAGCCTTCCGAGGCCTAAAACGTTGCTGCTATTTTCCATGATTTCTGCTGAGTCTGTTCCAGATTTAACAGCTGAAATGTTTCTTGGTGCGCTGCTCCTGACAGGTATTAAGTTTCTAATCCAGAGCTGGGCATTCCAGCCTTACAGTACTGTGTTTGCAAGAGACAAGTAACGCAGATGCTAAAAGCTCCAAAAAGGCATCAGGTTCACATTCTCCAGCCTGATAATGGGGCTATCCATAATAATACAAGGAAAATATTTTACCAGTAGCTGAAATTCAAGAAATGATCAGCTTAGAATCAGGCACAGCACCGTGCTTAGTAAATTATTATCTGCCACAAAAGCTGAGGGACACAAACCGTGTGCTTAGTTGCCAAGTATTACCAGTGCTAAGCTGCAAGTCCCAGCATGAGGCAGTGCTGGAGGTATGCTGGATTCCCAGGAAATAAAGGAGCACAAACACAAGGGAATGCGGTGCTTTGACAACAGGAATGTCAAACACTCTTCCACACCCAATTGTCCCCTGTCACACCTTCCCCAAGACCTTCCATCAGCTGAAGGGGGCAGTAGGAAGGGAGTCTCATAGAAAATGAGACTTTGCTATCAATTTTTCTCCCTAAGGCAGCAATGATTCCTATGACAAATGGAAAATGTCACTGATCACATGACATTCTTGGTGCTACCGAATTAATTGTCATGCTTGCAACTTTTAGCTCTCTAGGGCCTGCTCTGTGCAGGCTCTAATCCTCTAAGCACACAGGTAGTAAAAACACGAGAAAGACAGCGGGTGACACATAAAAAGAGGATTGTAACACAATTCCCAAAGGCAGAATGTTTGACTACAGTGACTCAGTTACTCACAACTACAAAACACTTCATGAAGACATTGTGTATTTGACTTGTTTCTGCAATGTCAATGGCACCTTGCCTTTTTTTCAAACAACCTGAGAAATATGGATGGAAAGCACTAAATAACAGCATTGTCATGGACATAAGCTGAGACTGTCAACCTCCAAAGGGGGGAAAAGCTTTTAATTTATATGCTAATACACACATACATAATTATTTCAAGAGAAAATATGACAAAGCACAAATTTGTATTAAATAATCCAAGAATACAAACATACTTAATTTTATATATAAACTGTAATACAAACCAATACATATTTGATGGGTAATTCTCATTTGGGCTCATACTTCACCAGTAAGAACTTCTACCTCCTTTAGATGGCTGATGAAAGAAGTAAGTAATAGGAAATAGTGTTTCATACAATTATTTATGACTCATGACAGGCTGAGGATGTTTTTCCAAATGTCCTGCCTCAAAGCTTTTGGCGTGTTTTGAAGCCACAGTGAACTTTTTTAAACACCCATTTTTCTTTCCAGAGTTGAAGGTTACTACAGTACCCAAAGAGAGAGGTAACAATCTGCACACACCAACTGTGAAGTTTGTTTTCCAGCATATATTCCCTAGGCTTCAATGCCGGTCAGAAAAGCAGCTAGGAAGCTCAGGCCAACACATCTGGACATCCTAGACAGAGTAGTGTTCCAAGACTTACTCACTTAACCACACAGACCCAAGATGAAAGCCCAATGACTTCCCTGCATCCTTTGCAATGACAGTGTAAGTTCACAGGCCCTGCTGGGGTGTGGGAGGCAGTGCCTCTGTCCCCGTAGTCCACGCTGGGAAAGAATACCTCTCCTCAAGGGCTGTGGGGAGCTGGGCTGGCCAAGCAGTGCCCTGAGCCTGCAGGACCAGCTGAGGACTGGGGCTGCTCCAGCAGTTCTCTCAGCCTCCTTGGAAGGTATCCCAGCAGTGCTGAGCCCAAGGGGGCTGTCCCAGTTTCACTGTGAGGTGGTCCTGCCCGGAAGGGCCTGCACCTGATGTGGGAAGCAGCCAGGGGCTTCCAGAGGAGCTAGCAGTGGTCTCAATCACGGAATTGTTAGGGTTGGAAGGGACCTACGGAGATCACCCAGTCCAACTTCTGCCAAGGCAGGGTGACCTAGAGTAGGAGGGGTTTGAATGTCTCCAGAGAGGGAGACTCCACATCCTCCCCAGGCAGCCTGTTCCAGTGCTCTACCACCCTCAATGTAAAGCTCTTCCTCATGCTAAGATGAAATTTCTCATGACAGTTTACAGACATTGCTCCTTGTGCTGTCGCTGGGCACTATGGAAAAGAGCCTGGAGCCATCCTCTTGGCACCATTTATGCGGATTTATGAGACCCCCTCTGTTTCTTTAAATTGAACAGGCCCAGCTCCTGCAGTCTGTCCTAATAAGAGAGATGCTCCAGTTCCCTCATCATCTTTCTGGCCCTCCACTCCAGCAGCTCGTCTTTCTTGTCCTGATGAATTCAGAACTGGACACAGCACTCCAGATGTGGCCTCACTAGGGCTGAACAGAGGGGCACGATCACCTCCCTCGCCCTGCTGGCCACACTCTCCCCAGGCTACCACGGGGCCTGCGGCAGGCACGGCGGCTGTGCAGGCTGCGGGCTCACACCCACCCTATCCCATCCGCACGGACCCCGGCCCAGCCGGGACGCGGAAGGGCGGGGCAGGAGGGGCCGGCGCGGGCGCGAGCCTGTCCCCGAACGCGCACGCGCCTCCCGCCCGTCCAATCCGCGGCCGCTTCGCCGCCGCCCACCCAGCGTCCGCCGCGCGCATCTTCACGCGCCGCAACGTCAGCGCCTTTCGCCCCTTTTTGGAGACACCCCCGAGCGGTCGGCGGCGCTCATTGGCCGCGGCGTGGGGTGCGCGTGCGCGCTCAGGGGCGCGGCCCCGCCCCGTCTCCCCTCAGCCCCTCCGCTCCCTGCGGGCCGCGTCAGGCGTGGGGTGCGCGGGCCGCCGGGTGGGCCCGGGTAGGAGCCGCCGCCGCCGCCGCCGCTGCAGCCGGGCGCCCGCGCTCGCCGAGCAGCGGGAGGGCCGCGCCGCTCACCTCTTAGCCCGCGCCGCCGCCCTCCTTTCCTCGTCCGGCAACCGCCATGGCGGAGACCGAGGAGCGGAGCCTGGACGACTTCTTCGCCAAGCGGGACAAGAAGAAGCGGAAGGAGAAGAGCAGCCGAAGTGCCGCCGCCGCCGCTGCCGCCTCCAGCGCTTCCAACGCCGGCTCCAATGCGGCGGGCGCGGTCGCAGGGACCCCGCGACCGACTGAGGGCGGCGGCTCCGGGGCCGCCGCCGCCGCCTCCAGCGCCGCCGGCGGCTCCTCGGCCAAGGCGGCGAGCAAGGTGCGGGCGGGGAGGCCGCGGGTTCCTGCCGGCAGGGGGCGCCGCCGCCGCCCGGCCATGCGGCGCCCGGGGCCGTGTGGGGCTGGCGGCGCTCCCGGCCCCGCCCCGGGGCCGCCGGGCGGGCGCTGCCGCCGCTGCTGCTGCTGGCGTGGTGAGGGGAGCCTGCGCCGGGAGTCCCGGCCCTGGGGGAGGCGAGAAAGCTGGGGCCCTTCTCGCTCTGCAGCTGCGGCTCAGCCCGGCACTCCCTGCCAGGTTTCTGGGTGTTGAGGCCGGAACCGGAGGTTTGCGTCGGGTGCCACCTGGGGCTGTGCAGCGTGGCATGTAGACCTTGGTGATAAGATTCCCCCAGAGTCCGCCGAGCTTTGTGCCTCGTTTTCAGGCAGGGTTTTACTGCCAATTATTTTTTCTTTGTCTTTTTTTTTTTTTCCTAGCATATTATAGTGAAACGGTGAGAATGCAGAAGAAGCTTAAGTGTCCGTAGTTGAGTTAGTAGCTCTCTGTTTCTTCCTTTGCCCTTGTTCTTCCTGTCCATAATATCAACGTTGAAGTAATGAAACTTAAACCCGAAGTAGTTTTAAAAGCTTTAATGCTTTTAAGCTTTAAAGCTTTTTTAAAAGTTTTAATGTTGTATGTTTTTTAACGAATTTTAAGAAATACTCTACTGTTAGTTTTTTAATTGTGGAGCTTGACGCGTGCAGTACCTTTGTTATATATTTGTCTGCTGTAGACAGGATAGATAGGACCTAAGAAACTATTTGCACCTTTTATCTCTATTTCTGGTTTGCTTTTTTTGCCTCTTGGGATTGTTTTCCTTTGGAGGCTTTAGCATGTAGTCATCTGAAGATGTGTTCCCTATCTTATTGCTACAAATCGAATATTTATCTATTTCTATGACTTTATACTCTGAGTATAAAAAGATGGCTTGTGAAAGGGTTTTTGGAAGGTTTTTTTTCACCTTGCTTCCTTCATGCTTACATAGAGGATCAGTGATTTAAGGATATTATCTTGTTGTGCTAGATTGATTACTAAAACTACAAGCTCTTATAAGTGCTCTAATGCTGTATATTTCAAAATTAATTTTAAGAAATACTCTCCTATTTCCTAGTGTTGTTTAACCTGGGGAGCTTGATGTGTGCAGTAGCTTTCTAAGTAGATCAAGGTCAGTGCTAATATTTCAGCTGCTCTTCTGCTCACTTGCTTGTAAAATATCTGGCTTTGACTGGAGCTACTACTTGGATTAGAAACAAAAGTCATTAAATGTGAAAGGTATGTTAGCTTGGAAACAGTAATGTTTCCATGGAGATGAAGATATAAGGAATCTAAGTAAGAATAAGAAATCTAGAAAATTGTAGAACTGTAGACCCCTGCTCTTCCAGAAGAATCTTCAGCAGACAGTGTAGTTAACATGAAGTCACTTCCTACTTCTGCTATTACTCTAAAGCAGGTCAAAGTTTTTCTGCTGGAGATTGACTGTGTAGAAGATCCCAGCACAAGGGTCTAAAAGCAGCTTTATTCTCCATCTTTCAGTGGAAAGGGGGCTGTACCTTTGGCAGATCTTGCTCACAAGGTCTTCCTAGTTGGAGTCGTATAACTGCATTTCATGTAGAGTAAAAACTAGGTAAACTACTAATTAGGCTGTGTGTGTCTTAAAGCTGGGTCTGGGAACATGGGAGGACTGCCTATCTGTTCTGGTCCATTTTTGGTCTCCCTTAATAATTCCAGAATCTCCTGATGACATAGTAGGACAAAATTGCCTCCACTTAGGTGAGTCCCTCTTTCCCCAAACAAACTCCCATTTTAAAACCCTCAAGTGGTTCTCTTGAAAGATACACATATTTTATGTACTGAGATTGCTGTGTTTTGAAGTTGACCTTTCTACTGTTACAAAAACACGGCTTAGGAAACAAGACTGTAAATGTGGTCGTGAATGTGAAAAAGTCAATGATTATTAATCTTTGTCATAAATCCACTGTAAACTATTCCAAATATTCATTTTTGTTTGGCTTATGAAATAGGTGATGAAAAAGTAAATTTTAAGCTTTGTGTGCATTCAAGCTGTCATGAAAACCTACTGTTAGTGAAAGGGAAAGGTCTTGCCCTTGTATTGCCCTGGTCATGATTGCACGGTCCTGTTCCATAATTTATATTGTTAGACTTCCTGATGTGTTTTTGCTGAGGTGATGTGGTTTTCTTTCACTTGAATGACTTTTTGCTGGGGCATTTCTTAGCTGTTCTAGTGAGTTAAAGTCAGCTCTCAGGTGCATCCCAGATGACACACAGTAACTTAGGGGATGGGGCCATGCAGCCCTTTCCTCTCTTGGCAGCGGGGCACACAGTTTGGTTTCTCCTGGAACTGTACCTTCACCCTCAGGTTTTTCTGTACTATCTTAGTTATGGTCTTCTTTTCTACTTCAGTTACAGAGAAAGTGGCAACTTACATTTTTCTCCTCTTACAGGAAGAGGATGATTGGAAGGAGTTTGAACAAAAGGAAGAAATTGATTATAGTGGTCTTAGAGTTCAGTCCATGCAAATAAGGTACTGCTTTTTCTTATTTTTTTTTTTTTCTTCAGTATAATCCTTACCAATGTCCAAAAAGGATGGGCTTTTTCTCCAGAGCTGCTTCCATGGAGTACAGTTAAAGAGAGGTTTGATACGTTTCTGATAGTACACAAGTTTGCTACTGCGTAATTTAACTTTGACTGGTCTCTGACAATGTTCTCTTTATTTTCTAAATCTCTGTACATACTCTAGATCTATCTGTTTTGCTTGGGACTCAGGATTTTTTATTACAAATGCTTAACATTCCTCTCCATAAAGACAGTCAAGTGGGAATTTCTCAGAGTAGTGCAGGATAGTGATTCCCACTGAATAGTTTGTTTGAATAGCTGTCAGGGTATCTGACCCAACCTACTCAGCATCTTCAGCTGGGAAGCAAATTCCTGAACCACTGCATTTGTATTAAAAAAAAAAAAATACAGTTGGTAAGAGTAGTGTCCCATGATGAGATCCCATGGGATTGCATTTATGAACCTAGTCCATGATTCCTTGTTCGTTTTTTTTCATTAGACTTTTCCTGTTGTCTGGTGCAAAGTAAGTCTGCTCATGTCTGTCCTGGTTAAGAAAAACGTTTCATCAGGTCAGAAAAAGGGTTTTTATGACCTGTGTTGTAGACTGAGAATGTCAGATAATCCTCATTGGTATTGATGTTCAAAATAATGTTATCTGAAAATCAGCCTCCCTGTAACCAGTGCAATGGATGCTTTATTCACTGTTCGAGCAGGTCTGACATTTCTGGAATTACTTATGTTTTTCGATCACAGCATTCCTCCCACTCCTTTCAGTTAACTAGTCCTTTGTGTCATTTGCATGAATTTGTCCCACAAGCTGTCCATGGCATTGAAATGTTACAGTGGATAATCACGTCTGATTAGACAACCAGTGAGCTGCAGCTTCACTGACTGCTGGTGCTGTTTGACCTAAAAGCCTCTACTTTGGTTTTCCAGACAAAGGCCAGCATTCCAAATACTTTTCATGCTGTGGCAGATTTTCAGGCATGTGGAAGTTTCTGCCACAGGATTTTGTAACTATTCAATTAGTGGATTCAGGGGAAGAGGGGAGAAGTAAATGGAAGAAAAACGCACCAGAGGTTATAAATTATCCATCTTTGGAAGTCTCTTTGATGTAACAAAGATACGGAGTGTCTTGTGGGGGTGGGATGCTCCCTGTGCTTGCTCTGTTGCAGTTAAGTCTATAGACATTGCTTCTGACTGTCATTTAAAATAAGGTGTTTAGGGCCACCTTACTCTGGTTGTTACAGTGTTTGGATGAACAGTGAAAGGCCATTTACAGGCATTTTTTTTCTGTTCTCTAACCATTACTTAACACAGAAGGGTTACTCAGATCATGATTAGTAGGATTTGGTGTATTATGAACTTCTGAATTCACACGTTGCTGCTGTTGAGATCAGTGTCTTGATTATTTTCAACAGCCTCATTTTCCACATCTGTCCCATTTTACCACAGCTTTCTGTAGCAGTTTTGGCTAGCAAATTGTTTTGGGTGTCTGACTACACGTATGCAAAATAAAGTAGTCTAAAATACAGCCGACTTTTTGCAGTGGGTCTGTCTTTGAAAAAATTCTGTCTTGTGCTGCTTTTTTTTTGCTGCTGTTGTTTTTGTTGTAGTTTTGTTTTTCTGATTGCCTGCTTTAAAAAAAAGATACCTGAGTTTGTTTGTAGTTTGTATAATACCCATACATACAAGGGTGTTTCTTAGGGGGTTTTGGTTATATGAAAAGTGAGCTCAGGACTTGCTTTCTTTCACCATTACTCCACTATTTCTTCCTCTCGACTAAAGCATTTTATGGAAGCTGGACTCGTAGACCTTTCCTGCTTTATGTTCTCATCCCTTCCAAATGCACAGCTGTGTTAGTAAGAAAAAAGCCTTTCTGCTCAAAATAAGATGCCAGTTTCTTTGATCACTTTGTTCAAGTTGAATTTTTTTTTTTATTCTTTTAGGAGCTTTTTTCCTTTTCAGTTGCCAAGTTATCTAGCAGAATGCCAGAAATTGTTCAGCTGGAATTGCTAGTACTGTGATTACATGACTAACATAGTCTGGTTTAATTTAGTATCTTCAGCATGGCAGCCATGAAACCTTGTCTTAGGAGGGTTATGTAATCTCTGGCAAATCTTAAACCTCCGTGTGTAAGGTGCTACTGATCATTTCTCTCTTATAGTGAAAAAGAAGATGATGAAAGTGAAAAAAGAGAAGAACCTGGTGACAGTTGGGAAGAGACTGGTGGTGGTGGTGGTGGTGGTGGCGTAGACAGATCATCTGGTCCTTGGAACAAATCAGCTCCTGCACCAGCCCCTGTCGTTGAACCAATTGGTAAATTTAATTCAGACTTGTTTTTTTCCAATCAGAAGTGCATCAGGTTGAATTAAGCTGCTCAGTGGGTAGAGCTCAAGGAACAATTCCTGTTCAGGCACACTTTAATGAACCAATGGCTTGTTTGGCGTGCCAGCCATCAAGGAAACCTTTGTGTCAAGGGATCTGAGGAACAGAATTGAATTTAACATATCTCTCAGATAGGGTTTTTTATTTCCAGCTTCAAAATGGGGGGAAGCTTTCTGTTTCTGCAGGAGATACCTCTGTTTTTCAGTCTGTAAAGTACTTGTTAGAAGTATTTCTGTTGATCTGAAAATGCTGTTTAACATTAAACTTCAGTGGATGTTCAGCCAGTATCTGATCTATTGTGGCCGTTAATAGCATGCTTTTCAAATTGGTTCTTAGAGTATTGAGAACATGATATTGCAAAATTAATTCTTTTAACTAGGATAGGTTTCAGGTTTTTTATTAAGTACAGTTTATTAACATTGGTGGAGATAAACTACTTAGTTCTCTTCTGGGTTCAGAATATTATTTTCCACTGAGAAATTAATTGCAAAATAGCCTATGTTCTTTCTTGTTTGTAAAGGAGGTAAACCTAATTAGTGTTATTTAATCTTAGATTTTTACCTTAGGTGTAAACTAATTTGGACAGTCCCCTCTACATCTGGAGAGGTGTTTTAAATAAGATTTGGCATCTGTATAATTGTGTTTAAATCTGTTCTACATGTGTTTAAATTGTTGCTGATAAATTGCAAATGAGAAACACAAAGTCCTCATTAATAGTTTGGATTCCCTAAACTTTGTGAGACAGTACTATGTTTCAGTTTGACTGAGTGTAGGTTAAGTCATGTGACGCCTGATTTCCTGCCTTGTCTAAAATACTTACTTCCAAAACTTAAAAGGTGGAAAAACATACTTGTAAGTTTATTTTAATTTCTTCTTTATGGAGTTTTTTTTTGTTTTGTTTTTGTGTTGGTTGTTTTGGGTTCTTCTCAGCTATGAATGCAGACTTATTCTCAAGTGTGAATGTTGTTCTTTTCCCTAGTTACAGAAACTCCAGAACCGGTGCAGACTGGTGGCGTGTACCGGCCGCCCGGTGCCAGGGAAGGTGGGCGGCCACGGAGAGCACAGCAAGGACCACCAGAGATCTACAGTGACACGCAGTTCCCCTCACTGCAGTCCACTGCCAAGCTCGTAGACAGTCGAAAGTAAGTGCATTCCACTGATTCCCCAAGAGTTTTCTAACTGCCTTCTCTAAATTCTTATTTTGTCCTAGTGCTTAAGCCCAAATCTTTCTGTAAAGGAAAGAAATAACTAAGGGGTGGTAAATGTATTTTCCAACTCTATTCCTGTGAAGTAACTTTCATAGGATGTAGCCCAGTGAGATAGCCAAACGAGACTGCCAATTATGTTGCCTTTGATGGTTGAAGGATTTTGCTGAATATTTCTGGTGTTGACAGCATCTGCTTCCCTCAGACTCTAGACTAGCCATGGTGGGGCTCTGTGTTACTTCCTTCAGCAGATGTAGGAAGTCCTGAGCATTCTTGTTAGAGATGTGAAGGTGGTTTAACTGGAGGTGTAGGGTTTAATACAAATAAAAATGTACACTTGCTGTCTGAGCTGTGATTTACAGAGATGTGCTCCCCCAATTTTGCTGAAGTGTTTTGTATTATGTGGTGCTGAACACTTCAGTCTCGCCCTGTTTTTGAATCCTGATCTTTCTGTAATCTTATTCTAGTAGAAGAGATGGCTAGGCAAATACCTAGTTCACTTGGGGGATTTGTGGTGTTTTTTTGTTACTGCGTTTTTTTTTTCTCCTCCTGCTTACTATGTTAGTGTTTGTTACAGCTTAGGAGAAGCTTTGTTTCCTCTGGGTGTTTTTTTGGTGTAGCAAAGGAGAAATGGTATTATTGATTTTTTGATTTGAATGGTGCAAATTGAGACAAGATGAAATTCTGAATGAGCGTTCTAGAAAATTGCTTTTGCTTTCTAGAACATATTTTTCATAAATGTACTTAAATTTACTTTGAGAATGTTACTGTAAACTGTACTGGGTGATGAGCTTATTTTGGAGATAAGGTTTTAAAAGATTTGCTTGGGAATGTTTAGGTAGATGAACTCTAGATCTTAGTGTTTGTTCTCTGTTTGTAATGTTTTTGTTGGGATGGGGTGGAAATGGACTAGAAATTCACAATTCACAAGTTAGTGACAAGATATTTACTGATTACATTTATTTTCCCATAGGGATAAAGAAATGGAGAAGAGCTTTGAAGTAGTAAAATACAAAACTAGAGGTAGGGATGAGGTCTCAAAAAACCAGGCACTTAAACTTCAGCTAGACAACCAGTATGCTGTGCTTGGGGATCAGTAGAGCTGCACACACATTACAATTAAGGAATGCTTTTTTGGTAACTCTTCTACTAAGGTAACTAAACTACAGCTAACAGCTATGATGAACGTGCCACCTTATTTCTGCTGGATCTACTGCAGCAAGTGCAGACTACTTTGACATAAGTGATTGGTTCTCCTGCACTATGGAAGCATAATATATTGCAACTTCTCCATTGGATATGGGGCAAATTAATGTAAATGATTGAACAAGAGTCATCAGTGTGCTTTAATTGCTCAGAAAGATACCTACAGCCAGTGGTCATTTCAAAATCTTTTTATGTTCAGATACTGAGCCTTCGTAAAGGTTGACTACCTCAGACTTGATGCACTCATTGTGGACACCATGTGGATCACAACTTCTGGAAGAGAAGGTTACAGCTGTTTTAGTGGCCATCTGAAACTTGAAACCAGCTCTACTGGATTCCTGTCAGAAATCCTGCAGAAGTCAGCCATTTGGTTCCAATTTGCTATAACAAAGATTTAAGTGACCTTAATGACAAACCTGTTCGTTCCCCTTCTGAGGAATCCTGTCATGTGTAGCCATAGCCTACTAGAGACATCTGGAGCATCCCATACCACTCATACTATCCAAGTACAACAGAGCTGTAGTTTGTTTACCTTTCTAGAGTGCTGTACGGAAGTAACTGCAAAACAAATTAAAACTCATTCAGTATCAGATTTGAAGAATGATGGGTTTGAATGGTTTGTTTGCATTAGCCATTTTCAAAGTTGTCTAAGTTGTTTTTTTTTCAATTATCCACAAAAGAAATGCCTGCCTTGTTTCTGATATCGATTTGCAGTATATTTAAACAATGGTAAGATGTTGTAGTGAAATAGGGTTTATTTTGGTTTTTGTCATGAAGTTTGTCTTTCTCACCCTAAAGCACTAAGAGTTTTGATTTGACACAGAGGCATCCAGACTCTACAGTCTTCAGAATTTGTCCTTTAAAATGAGATGTGGCAGTAGTGATAGTAGATAAAAATGATCTATCAAAAACAAGTATTTGCTTGTCGAGGAGTGATGCTTACTTGATAAACAGAATAACTTAATATGAAGAGAGATAACTAAAGCTGGTAAGCCTGATTTGTTTGGCTACTTCTGTGAAGCATGCAGCTCTCTGAGGCAGCAATCTTCCAAGTATAACTCATAAATGGTGTTTATTCACAGTCAGTTTAGTAATGATGGAAGGCAGTGACTTCTGTAAGTTACTTAATTTAGTGGAAGTAGGCAAAATGGCACTGGTACACTAGGAATATAGGACATTGCCTGTAACTGTTTCAGTGAACCAAACCTGTCAAGTACCAGAAGTGTTCTGCTGTAACTGTTTTTCTCTTCTCTGAATTTTTACACCAGAAGCAAAATGAAGTACAATAGTGGTGTGCTCCAGTGTTGAGGTTTCTCAGAGTAAATGCCAAAAAATAGACCCAACATCCATAAGAGTTGCCAATGGCAAGAAAAACAAGGGAACAAAACAAAGCTTGCTTACGTGTGTGGGAGTACTGTGTATGTGCAGAAGATAAGGGCAGTTCAGGAATCACCCAGTTGGGTTCCCTTTGACTAACTGCTGACTTGCTTTAAATTTACTTCTCTGAGGCCAATGCAGATTTTGCTGTTGACTTCAGTGGGGCTGGGGTTTCACCTGGTTCTTTTGTGCACAGACTAAAACTGGCCTTGCCCTTGCAGAGTTAACTGTCTATAAAAATTCTGCTAGAAGCTGCTATTAAAGAGGGCTCAAGAGACTATTCCTAAAGTTGGAGACTTCATTTGGAAACAAAACCCCGCTGAAAGACTGATACCAATACCTTGAACTCTGAGCCATGTATCTTCCTTGAAAATCCATTGTTGCCAGCAGAAGTGTTGTTGTCACAGTTTCTGTGGAATTCATGGTAAATGGACATGTCACTTGATGGGGTAGAGATGTGAAGTCTTAAAATGCTTTTCCTGATGCTCTAAAGAGATTGCGATCACTAATGCACATGAATAGAGTTTTAGTCTCCTATGTGAAGGGTAGATGAGACTGTCCATTGTACCACCTTTATTTGAGGTTTTTGGGCATGAATTCTGGTAGTTCAAGAAAACCCTGTAAAAGTTTCAAATCAAATAAAATGGAAATATACATGGATTCCGGAGTCTAGTGAGTCTTTACATTGTAGTTTGAGCTCATGACTGTACAATAGCAGAGGAAACAGCATTTGTGTTTCTTCAGGGATAGGCCATGAAGCAGGCAGTTGTCCTTATGGTCAGGTGTGCTCTATTTCAGAGCTTATAGCAGTGCATATCAATAAAACTTTCGTTTATATGTAGAAGTTTAGTTTGCTACTTGGCATGGTGTTTTCTTGCTCCCACCATAGAGGACTGGTTTGAGATTGTGATTTGTTTTTTGTGGAGCTTTGATTTGCTTTTCACTTAAAAGTACCTCTGCTAAATTAAGGAATGGGGAAGAAAAACCCAGCCTCTGGATGGCTGCTATCACTGGAGCCCATCAGGTACTGATAACTAAAGGTGTTCCTTTGGGGGCTTCTCTCAAACATATCATTCCAGTTTCTTTCTGGAGGCATAAGGAAAAACAAAAGGGAAATGCAGCACATTATCGTAGTACAGAATGTTAAACTGTTTTAAAAGATGTGTTTCTTGTGTTAAGTATAGCTGCCAGCAACTATCGAAATGCCAGTTGTCAGTATCTTCCTTGTACCAAGTAATTGCTCTGCATGCCTGAAATTTTGAAAGACAGTCCTCTGTGGAAGCTGAGTTTGCTTTGGAGACTGAAGTCCAGCTTTATCTGGTTTGTTGTTGCTTTCATTTGAGGCATGCTAAGAATGTCCTTTTCATTCCCTCAAAATGCTCATTGAAGGCTTATTCCATAAATGAAGGGGTGTCAGTTGGAGAAACGAGATTCCCAACGCCAGTCCATATAACGCAGTTGTGTGCTGCTTCAGGGACTCCCAGGCCCGTGACATGCTTTTATGGTGGGTTGCTTGTTAATTCCCAGTTTAAAGGTTCTGTTCTCCTTTCTCTGGCTTACAATAAAACATAGCTGTAAAGTTGCCAGCTTGCTGGTAGAATATGGAAATGTCCAGTGTTTACTGGGAAAAGAACAGTTTGGATTTGTGTCTCTCAATTATACAGTCTATTTAAGGATGTTAAAATGCTTAAAACCAGGTCATTTTAATGAAGTTGGGCTTCCCAAATGCCTACTGTAGGTATCTGGAATATGTATTTACTTGAGCTGATGGTAATGTAGGAGAGGATTAATTTTGCCCCTGCCTATCTCTCCCAGTTTAGCTGTGTCATGTTTAATCTTATTCACAGATGAAGAGCAATTGAAAATAAAAAGTGACTGTCTCCTGTTGCTTCAATTTTGTATTTGTAGCTAGCTTTACCAGTCATGTCCACAGTAACTTAGATGAATTTTTAATGGTACCAATTGTGCTAGAGGCCTGACACCACAGGGAATAGGGCTTTTGGTATTCGACTGCATCTGTCAGCTCTTGGAAACTTTGATCACACCATGGCTGAGACCCATGTGTTGTTCAGGTCAAGTAAACACAATACAAATTTGATTTGGCTTCACATCTTTAGAGTTTGCATATCTGAGCTTTAGCAGTAGTTGTAGCTTTCTGCCTTTTTAATTTCTGCCTGGTTGAGCAGTTTTAAACTTGCTTGTGGTTTTGTCAAATACCCTAACTAAAATGGAGCAGGGATTAACAGGGCTTCATGTGCTTAAATAAGATTTCTTACTTACAAGGTAGTAATATTATTCTTCCCAATATTGACATGGTCAGAAATTTACACCTCATTGGCCCAAGAAGCTAAATTATACCAAAACCACCTTGAGTACTGTAAAATATTTATGAACAGCCATGATCCAGGTTTTGTTGTTGGACTGTAACTTAGTTCCCAAATTCTTTCTCCCTGTTTTCAGCTTTCAATGTTACTACTAGTTTTTAATAATAAATTGGGGCTTTTATGTGGCAGTATAAGAAAATAATATGTGTACTTAAACTTCAGATAGATGAATTAGGTATCTACAGAAGGGAAGAAATCTGACATATATTTGCAGATAAACTCCAGAAAAAGAAAGATATACTGTCTGTATTGAGGTTAATACAAGAGCCTGCAAGCTCTAGCAGATGAAGTGACAGCAGAAAACAGAACTGAGGAGTCTTAAGTCATAACAATTGTGTATCTGAAGTTTGGCTTCTCAAGTATCACCTGTAGTTCTGCCATGTTCTATTGGAAGTGAAATAGAGCAGGACGGAAAAGTAATAAATAAATAAATTAGGGAGGGTGGAAATGATGCAAATAAAACATAAGTGCTGTAAGAAGAGAGAGATTAGGAGGGCTGTTTTCTAAATGATAGGTTTAAGTGCATAGCCTGAGGCAGGGAGTGGAGTGTCAATGTTGGATAGTACAAGTGCTGTGTGGGTAGGCACTGCTTTCACAAGTGACAGATTCATCTGACTTTAAATCAGCAAAACTGTTTAAAGTTCAGTACTTGGGGAAGGCAGCCCATTTTATTTCTTCCTTTCAACAAATTGGGAGAACGTGTTCAGAGAGAAGGTAGAATTTTGCATTGGAATGAAGCTGACCTGTTGCCTAAAGAAAGAACTAAGGACATATTTCAGGATGGCTCAACAATCCTCTTAGGAAATAAATTGTGTATTTAAGAAAATTATTTTTCACATCTTTAAATTTCACATGATTAAAGGCTGAGACATTATTTCAAATAGCTATGAAGGCTTTTTTTTTTATGAAGTAACTTCTAAATGGTACATACATCATGGGTTTATTTTCAGTTGCTTAAGAGTATGTGTTGATGCAGCAAGGTTAATGAAGTTCAGTGTTCAGCGAACTTCTGCTTAGCCAGAATACAAATACTTAACACATATGACAGTATTAATGAGTCACCAGGAAAAGTAGTGTCTGAAATATTGGAATGGAAAGTGTGATCTAAAACAACTGTGTGCACTGAAAAGAAGCCAAGCCCATTTCATAGCTAGAGCATGGGAAGCGTGGGACCAAGAGACTGGGATTTGGCCTTGGTTTTCTACTGAGCTGCTATGTTCAAGTAATTGAGTTTCACTTTGCCTCAGTTTCCCCAGCTGTACCAAAATAACCAACAACCTACCTCACAGGGGTGTTGTGAGGCCAAAGCTGTTCTTTGTCAAGGGCTGGGGCTGATGGAAGGTTCTACAGAGGACTAAAAAATCTTTATTAAGAGATCTTTATACTAGCTTTTATTATAGTATTTTAATACTACTTTGGCAAAGGCTTTTTTCTATGGAATGTAATATACATCCTATTTAAGTATTATGTAATTGGACTTATTTTAGTATGTATGGGTAAGGAAAAAGTTCAGGCTGAGCCCTCAACTGCTGTTTCCTCTCTTCAATTATCTGTGCAACCCAAATGGCGTATTAATATGAGGCTCTTTGTTTTTATGTGGAACATATTAAAATCAATATTGCTATATTTTGTAAACCCCATGACTGAAATAAAATCCTGCTCACAGTTGATAGCCAGTTCTTACAATGTGGCTGTTTTAAAGTTTGTTCAAATCATGTGAACCAAAAATGTTCACTCCTAAATGATATTTTGTCATAGGAATGTGTTTTTCTTCTCCTCTCCATGTGTAAACACTTTTTCCTGCTCTTTATTCTTTAAGTTGAAGTGGCATGCAGATACAAGAGAAATAGGAAGAGAGAATAATCTTCAAAACTTGTGTAATCTGCTATTACGGCAAACTGTAGAGGAAGGGAATGAACAAAAGGGAAATAGGTGGCCATAGAAGGGGTTTTCTGAAATAAAGGGAAGAAATGATCAAAAACTAGGGGTGGATTAGGTAAGCAGGTTAGGTAAGAGGAAGGAATATAGATACAGCAGAGGCGATTGCCCTATTTATTATCTCCTGATTTACCAGTTAACTGCAGCTGAAGTAACATGAAGTAGTAACTTATGAATATGCCTTTGTCTGCTTTTGCTGGTGATTTGCTCACCTTTTATAAAGGGGCTTCAAATAGAGTAAGAGAGTACGATGGTGACCTGCATGCAGACAAATGAGAGCTCTGGTGGGTCCTGGACAGACATGAGCAGTTACCTTCTCTTATTGATACTTTTATCATTGCTGCACCTCTAAGCTGTTAATGTACATCAGCAGTGACGGTTCTCTGTCAGAACTGATTACTATTAAGCTTCAACAAACTGTGGCAGTTGCTTCATAGAAAATGTTTAACTAGCTGAATAATAAGCACTGAAGAATAACATGGGGCTTTTTGAAGTACTTATGATGATGATGGTAATGAGTGATATTAAGGTCCATATATTGGTAGATGGCTTAAAATTACTTTAAAGCATGTATCTTATATGGTGGGAAGGAGAATTGCTTTTAAGATGTTTTAACATCTGTCCCCCTCTTAACAAATAAACTACCCTAGTTTTACTGTCTTTCCAGCTCCAAGGAGTTGCTTCTACCATTCTCTTACCACTTTGCTGCCTGTATTTTTCTATGTCACTTTTTTTAAGGTGCTGAAGAAACAGCAAATATTCATTATCACCGCTAAGAGAAACAGATGCTGTAATATTTTTCTGTATTGTTCTGTCTTTAATACAGCCTAACATCTTATTCGCTTTCTTGACTGCAACTACACAGTGAGCAGATGTCTTCATCAAGCTGCCCATGGTGATGCCTAGATCGTCCCCTTGAAAGATCACAACTAATTCAGACTCATGTCACTTCTGCCAGAGCATGTATGAGTGGTTTAAAACCTTTCCAGTATTTATTGCCTTGGTTTTTCCTGTTGACAACTCACCTGCCCCTGATTTGCAAAGTTTACAGTCATTTAGAGGATCCTGGCAATCACCATCAACCCAGTAACTTCCATGGGGATTGGCTTTTGCCATTTGATGTACTGAAGTCTTCAGTTTCATGTATATAATCCACTTTTCTGGTCAGTGAGTAGCATGGCAAGCTCTTACTAATTTTTGCTCAGTCTGCTGTTTTCTATTCCTTTTCATGTCTCCTATTTTCTGTACTGAATTTCCATTCTAGCTCAGTTTATGGCAATGAAGTCATGTTAAATCTGTCTGCTTTATTTCAAGTAACTTGCCTACAGAAAACTGTTAATTAAAATACTGTCGTAAGCTTCCTTTTTTAATTAAAACAAACCACTTATTCTCTATATCTTTCAGAGTATGGACAACCATAGCGAAGTGATTCAAACCATAAAAACTGGCTGGTACAATAGAACAAATTTATTGAGAAAAAGGCAAAATATGTGTATAGTTTCCCAGAGCTTAACCTCACTGGTTTCAGTGAAGTTTTTTCTGTCACACGAGGTCAGTTTCATTAAAATGTGATTTGAGATCATGTCACTTCAATTCTAGGTGTGACAGCCAGAATCAAGTGCCAGTGAACAAGCCCCATAGAAACTTGTTTTAAATTTCTGGCTTATTCTCCTCTTTGTGGCAGAGATCAAACAGATGCATTATTATTACTTAGTCTCTGACCGGCAACCATATGAGCTCTGCCATGCTTAATCTGATATACCTGTAGTAGTATTTAACTGGATATCAAAATTGCATTACAGTATTTGAGATGGAGCAACACTGGAGGTCAGGCTTAGTCTTTGTGGTTTGTTTCATCTCTTCATTCTCATCATCTTGTGCTTTAAAGAGCATGGAGCTGTAAATGATGTTGTCTTTAAGCACTGACTGCATTTCCCAGTCATGTTATGTTTACAGATACAAAGGATGTGTTACAAGGGCAGACTCAAGCCTGGTAGTATGTCCAGCCTGGCCCTTGAGAGTTGCATTACCTCAGTTATCAGAGTACCACATCCTAGAGAGCAGACACCTTCCTGTACTAATGATCATACTAGGTTGAGAACAATGTATCTTGGATTTTTGCATCCAAATATCTGTCTCTGTTAGGTGTTCTATTACAGCAGCATTCTGTCAAAATCAGTCCTGGCTGCTGGGAGTTGATTAAGCTGGCCAAGGGAGTTTGGATTTTTTTTTACTTTTTGAGGACAAAAAAAGGGTCAATGAATCTGAGAGTTAGAATGTAATACTTTATAGCCTCTCCCCTGCCTCTGGAAGCCTCACCTCTGCTGGTACTCACCAAAGCCCTGTCTTGCCACTGTAGCTCCGTACTGTTACTTACTAACTGCCCAGTAACCTTCAGGACTGACAAGTTCTTTGACCGTGCACTGTGTCTCTACTCTGGGATTTGGGTAAAGGGCAAAGTGGCTTTGGAAACTGGCATGAGTGTTTTCTGAATCATGGGCTCTGCTTATTGTTTTTCCTGGAACTCAAAACTCAGCAAAAAATCTCTTGATTTGACCTCTCTTTGCCCTAGAGTATTGCCTCCTTCTTCTGTTCATTACCATGCCAAGGATTTCTTAGTCAGTTGCCTGAATTATTCATCACTTACTTAAGAAAGCAGCAGGCAAGAACTCCCATGTCTTGATCATGCTGCATTTTTTTTGTCAGGGCTGTAGTATCACAAACATTGCAAAACTGCCTAGCAGGTACATGCAGTCTCCTTCAAGAACTGAAACCTAGAGCCTCAGAAGCCTCTGAAGTGGGAGCTGAATTCCCACTGAACACAGTAAAAGGGAGGCAGTAGCACTGTTCACAGTACAACACAGCTCAGCTAAGGAAAGGAGTAGTTGCATGACTGGTAACATTCTAGCTTAAACAAAACTGTCTTATCTGGACAGCAGGATCTAGCCTAAAGCATTTAATTTTTTTTTAAGGAAGAGATTACTGAGGGAAGAATTGTAAGAGGATCTCTCTGTAAGTCAAAAGGGAAAAAAAAAAAACAAACCTGAATTTGTTTTCAGCAACATACCAGAATGCCTCAGCACCAGACTTAATGTGAAGAAATAAAGATAACTGTGTGCTCAGTGTAGTGCAAAAAAAATGATACTGTTTGGCTGGGAGCCTATGGAGCACAGCAGAAAGTGTTTAAACAAAGTTCAATATGATCTGTTTCTGAGAATCCCTGTGTGGCCCCTACAGTTAACACAGGAACCTAATGGTGCCTGTATATTTATATAATTATGTTAATAGTCATAACTTAAGTTCAAAACCTGAACTATATATATTTTTGTCAGTAGATTTTTTTTTTTTACCCTGGTTTACCTATCATGGCTTCTGCATATGACAACTTCTAACTGTGCAGTGCACACACCTGTTGTCCTTTTGTCCCATGGTAGAGTAATGGTATTCAAACTCTGTAAAGCACTTTCGTGATGTTTCCTGTGAAGAAAGCTGAAGAAAATAAATTTATCTTAACAGTACCAACTGAATTTCCATCTCCCAAGTTTGTCTTGCTTGTGTTGTGTTTCCCCGTGTGTGGCATACGGACAACGGTGCACTGGATGTTTGAGGCCCAGTGCAGAAGAGGAGCTGGCTCTGGCTGGAACAGCTGCCTTCTGCTTCTGTTCCCCCAGCACTCCTTCACTGTCCTGCCTCACCCCTGGCTTTAAACCAGTGTCAACGAGGTCAGAGAACACTGGAGAACATGCAGCACTCAGACCCCAGGTAACTGGTTTCACTGGGGGTTGGTGTGTGCTTGATTTTAGCTGCTCCCCCTTCTGCCCTGCCCCATGATTCACAGCAGCTGCAGGAACTCTGTGGCTCCAAGACTTCTTTTAAAGCTTGAGTTAAGTGGGTCAGGGAGTGGGTTTTATCTATAAAGTGAGAATACCAACACTACCCTTCCACACTAGCTTCTGGGAACTGGGAAGAAAAAGTCACAGGAACCTTAGGTCTTCCCTGGTAATACACCTATTTCAAATGCCTGCAATGCAAAGCAGCACTTCAGAGATAGAACACTGAAATACACAGTTAATTCAAAATGTGATGTAAGGCATTAACCAGCAGCATTATTTTCTTATTTTCTGTCCATGGACTTGGAACAAGTTGGAGACGTTTGATGTCCACAAATACCAAAAAGCATCAAGCTGTTATGAAAAAAAAACAAACAACAAAGCAGGTGATAAGACTGTAGTCACAGCCAAGCCCTCAGTGACAGGAGCACAGATTTCACTTCTTTAAAATAATCAAATCCCTCACTTTCATTTGCACTCCTTCCTGACAATTCCTTCAGGTCATCCTGACAGCAGGTTGCAGAGCTCACTGACAAAAGATCCACTGCACTAAAGCAGAAAATCAGAAGCACAAAGTACAGCCTTGCACATAAAAAAAAAAGCTGCTTTTCTGTTCTCTCACCTGGAGATGCCACAGCTCAGGTGCCTTGTCCCTTCACCAAGCAGCAAAAGGTTAGTTCTGCCTAGACCAGCCTGACTCTGCAGGTTCCACAGGGCTTAAACGCTTGTGGCTCAGTCTTGGGTCTGCAACAAATACTGATGCAAACCCTTTCCAGAAAAGAGTATTCAGCAGCTAGAAAATAAACATAAAATGCACCCTTGCTTTCAAAACAAAACAAAGGTAAATTAAATAGACTTCAGTGTTACATGTATTTTTCCAGACAACTCCACTGGTCCTGTGTGACTGGATGCTGTGCTTTTCTGTACAAACAGGCTGTAGTAATTCCAGATGCTTAAACACAGCGCTTCAAGTTCCATGAGAACACTTTTGCCCAGATTAACATAGTGCACTCATATACATTAAGTTCAGTAAATAAAGGCCCAGACTTCACTGTTACTGAAACGGTCAAAGACTTTGTCAAATATTGTGGTTGTGTGACTAAGAACATTTCCAGTTGCCAGAAGCTGAAGTCTTTGTCTGGCTCTGATTCTTGTCACAGACTCAAACAGGGAACATGGTCAAGACAAACTTCACCTCTTGGTTAACAGAATTGTGTCTACAGTTGCTGAACAGATTCATTAGCACTCAGGATGGCAGCAACAGCACCTGTAACCTACAGAAATAGTTTATTACATCCTCCATTAGTACAAAAAATTACAAACCAGTTCTTTTTGCCTAGTTTCCCTCTTCCCTTCCAATAGAAAATGCCAAAAGATGAAAGATTAACATAAAAATCTATATACAAAATATATGGGAAATGCAATGTAATTCTCATCAATTGGTATTTTCCCCACAACACAGATAAAAGATGTGATATGTGTTTTACAAATTATTTCTTAATTATTATTATACAACTGTGTCCACAAAAAAAGTCCAGTCTAGTGATGGGTTAGACTGGACATGTTAAAGTATGTTTTGGATGAATTCTTGCCATATTTTTAGATGCTACTGATAACCAAAGCAATCTTTCCTATAAGCATTACTGCAAATTTACTTTAATCTCAGGACAAGTTAAAAGTGAACCTCAAAGCTTTTAATTTTTTGGGCAAGAATGAAAAAATATAAATATGAATTTAAAAATGTACAGATTAAGAACAAAGAATATGCTTAGTGTATTCTGGATCGCTTGACTCTGCTCATTTCTCCCAGTGCTTTTCTTTTCTGGGATAATCCGGTTCCAAGATCTGAGTTATTCTGAAGGTAAGACTCAGCTTCTGGCAGGCAGTAAGACTCCATAGGGGGAGGTGGATCCTTCAATAAAGAAACAAAAAAAGAGTGGGTAAGCTCAAGAAGAGCAGCTTCTGAGAGAACAAAAGCAGCTCATCAGTTGTCCAAACTGAAAATAACAAAACAAACATTACAGATTTTAAATACGTTTTGTAAGCAGCTCCCTACCCTGCAAGAGATACCACTGCCAGCACCAGAAAAAGTCATGTCAGAGCATAAACTGGAGGCCACAGAGCAAAGCCCTCATGACAGGCACTTTGTGGCCACAATTCCTGGCAAAGGAGGCCCGTGACTGCTAGAGCAGCTGTCCCCTGCAGGGGGCTGGGGCAGTGTGGCAGGTGGGGAGCCCTGGGTGTGCCCACCTGGATAAGGTAGTCAGCGATGTACTCGGGTTTGAGGCAGTTCACTCCCTGGGCTGCCGCCTCTGCCACGTTAACCCTGGAGTCATCTGGCTTCAGCTTACTGAAGTCAGCAAAGAGGTGAGTTGCTTCTTTAAAGAGAGATGCAGAATGGCCAGAAAAAACCTACAGACAAAACACGACCCACAAAAGTTAAGTTGTGTTTCTTCCCCAAGACAAATGCAGTTGATGACCTTTAAGTTTACTCATCAAACTAACAGAAACCAGTGGGAAATCAAATACACTTATAGCTGCATTCTGTACCATCACATACCTGTCCAAAAGGGTGATCCTTCCCATCAGAGGAGGGCACAGAAATTCTGTCCTCAATTCCCACCAGCACTACTGACTTGTGTAACCTCAGACAAGCTGCTCTGCCTGACCACTTGCAAAGTGAAGATGACAAAGCTTTTTCCTCCCACCCTTTGACCATATCTCAGCTACCCTGTGTAAGCAATTTTTTTCATTAAGACCTTTTACTCACATAAAAATGCCCAGCACAGTTAAACAGAAAGAAAAACATAATTAAACAAACATATATGTATTTCATTTTTTTTTCATAACAACTACATACTTTTGCTCCTCCTGACTGAAGAAGGCGCCTGAATCCTGCTTCCTTGGTTTGATCAACGTTCAGGATCACTTTCCAACCACTGAAAGCTCCCTAGATAAATGACAATTCAGTCAGAAGTATACTGCTACTGAAAAAGTGCAAAGATTTAATTGGTCTATAATTTATCCCTTTTGAGAATATCCATCAGATGAAGACTTGCAATTACCTAGTTTTGCCTTTAAGTATGCATGCCAGAAAAAATACCCACAGAACATACAGCTATTGGGCCACAATCAGCAGCTCGCCACCTAGCCCCCCCTTAAGGAAACACCCTTGCAGAGAGTATGCTTTCCAAAACACCAGACACTGCCAGAAATTCATCTTAAAAAAACCCCAGTGACTTGCAAACATTTTCCCCTGTTCCCCCAGCATGCACTTGGTTACATTAATAGCACAGAGGGCCAACCGGCTGCCTCCTACAAACACTTAGTGTGGTTTCCATGGGGGCAAAGGACAGGGAGGATTTGTTACAAGCATTTCTTTTAAAAAGGTTACTGTAAAACACACCAGATTTTTCCTGACATAATTGAAATGTCACCTTTCAATGAATCCTCAGCTGCAGTGCCTGATTTGAGAGGAGTCGAAAGGCTTTGGGGAGTTCAAAAACCTTACACTGAAAGACTATGAAACCAGAAACCAGATCTGATTTCCTAGCAGAGCTGACTTAGGTTAGCTCTCCAGTCAGAGCTCTGAAGAATAAACATCATCTTCCTGGCTGAGGGACATTTACATACTTAAGTAGCCACATTCCAGCCGTGCAAAACATGAACACTGGTTCAGAGGAGACTAAGAGTTTTAACAGATCATCACAGAAACTTTTTTAAAAAACAAAATTACTTAACTACAATATATCAAGCCAAGACATTTTGTTCTTGATAACAAGACAGGCTACCTTCCCCTGACATTGAAGTTTTTAGTTTCTTGGTGACGATGCCTATCCTGCCCATCCACACTGTACAGTTTACATTACTGGAGTATCCATATACCTCAACAATACCCGTTTCTTGCCTCCCTTTATGAATTTTTTTCCTCCACCTCATGGCTGCCAGTGCTAGTTTCTTCTGGTTTACATTGATTCCAGACAAAACATTAAGTACAGATTTACTTCCCCACTCATAGTCTTCTTCCTGTAACAACCATAAGCTTGAATTACAAAGCAGTCCTGCCAACTTTACCAGCAGAAAAATAGATTTTAAAATCCCACACCAAATAGAAAATAAAAATCCCTGAAACAAATCCCATCTCACTCTAGGCTGTATATATGGATTTTATCTAGCCAAAACAGCTCTAGGCAAAATTAGAGATATGGCTCTTAATTGAACATGTTTATCTAAATTAACTCATGTTTTATGTGGCATCAAGCCTTGTATACAACCTGATTCTTCTTGCAGTTACACCTACAATAGAATTCAAGAGTAGGACAAAACAACTCACTACACTGGATACCACTGATTATATTTCTGCAGTGTCTTCCAAAACAATTAAAGTTAGTTTTAATACATAAGGATATGAAGCAGTCTGCAGGCATTACTTTAAAGTTATCCTGGTCAATGTAAAAGAACTGTCTGAGCCAAGAGAACTGCAAAATTAACAGTTAGGAAGGCACTGGAAGAGGTAGAGTTTAAAAATATTTATGTACATGGTTATAGAATCGAATTATTTAAAAATAATATATGTTCACCTATTGAAAGAATCTAGATTTTATTCCTGGTTTAACAAGAGCCATGTAAATTTAGCTCATAACAGTGAGAATTTACCAAAAGGTATTCAAAGACTCGA